TAGCCGCAGCCTCGGGTTCCAGATGTGTGCAACTTACCCCTTACCCCTTAATCGGCCCTTAAAGGAAGGGGCGCGTCAAAAGTGCCTCAAGGGTTCGTCTGATCGCCAAAATAAGGGTCGCAATCGATTCCTCGGGTCAAAATCTAGCCGCAGCCTCGGGTTCCAGATGTGTGCAACTTACCCCTTACCCCTTAATCGGCCCTTAAAGGACGGGGCGCGTCAAAAGTGCCTCAAGGGTTCGTCTGTTCGCCAAAATAAGGGTCGCAATCGACTCCTCGGGTCAATATCTAGCCGCAGCCTTGGGTTCCAGATGTGTGCAACTTACCCCTTACCCCTTAATCGGCTCTTAAAGGAAGGGGCGCGTCAAAAGTGCCTCAAGGGTTCGTCTGATCGCCAAAATAAGAGTCGCAATTGATTCCTCGGGTCAATATCTAGCCGCAGCCTCGGGTTCCAGATGTGTGGAACTTACCCCTTACCCCTTAATCGGCCCTTAAAGGAAGGGGCGCGTCAAAAGTGCCTCAAGGGTTCGTCTGAATGCCAAAATAAGGGTCGCAATCGATTCCCCGGGTCAATATCTAGCCGCAGCCTCGGGTTTCAGATGTGTGCAACTTACCCCTTACCCCTTAATCGGCCCTTAAAGGAAGGGGCGCGTCAAAAGTAACTCAAGGGTTCGTCTGATCGCCAAAATAAGGGTCGCAATCGATTCCTCGGGTCAAAATCTAGCCGCAGCCTCGGGTTCCAGATGTGTGCAACTTACCCCTTACCCCTTAATCGGCCCTTAAAGGACGAGGCGCGTCAAAAGTGCCTCAAGGGTTCGTCTGTTCGCCAAAATAAGGGTCGCAATCGATTCCTCGGGTCAATATCTAGCCGCAGCCTTGGGTTCCAGATGTGTGCAACTTACCCCTTACCCCTTAATCGGCTCTTAAAGGAAGGGGCGCGTCAAAAGTGCCTCAAGGGTTCGTCTGATCGCCAAAATAAGGGTCGCAATTGATTCCTCGGGTCAATATCTAGCCGCAGCCTCGGGTTCCAGATGTGTGCAACTTACCCCTTACCCCTTAATCGGCCCTTAAAGGAAGGGGCGCGTCAAAAGTGCCTCAAGGGTTCGTCTGATCGCCAAAATAAGGGTCGCAATTGATTCCTAGGGTCATTATTTAGCCGCAGCCTCGGGTTCCAGATGTGTGCAACTTACCCCTTATCCCTTAATCGGCCTTTAAAGGAAGGGGTGCGTCAAAAGTGCCTCAAGGGCTCGTCTGGTCGCCAAAATAAGGGTCGCAATCGATTCCTCGGGTCAATATCTAGCCGCAGCCTCGGGTTCCAGATGTGTGCAACTTACCCCTTACCCCTTAATCGGCCCTTAAAGGAAGGGGCGCGTCAAAAGTGCCTCAAGGGTTCGTCTGATCGCCAAAATAAGGGTCGCAATCGATTCCTCGGGTCAATATCTAGCCGCAGCCTCGGGTTCCAGATGTGTGCAACTTACCCCTTACCCCTTAATCGGCCCTTAAAGGAAGGGGCGCGTCAAAAGTGCCTCAAGGGTTCGTCTGATCGCCAAAATAAGGGTCGCAATCGATTCCCCGGGTCAATATCTAGCCGCAGCCTCGAGTTCCAGATGTGTGCAACTTACCCCTTACCCCTTAATCGGCCCTTAAAGAAGGGGCGCGTCAAAAGTGCCTCAAGGGTTCGTCTGATCGCCAAAATAAGGGTCGCAATCGACTCCTCGGGTCAATATCTAGCCGCAGCCTCGGGTTCCAGATGTGTGCAACTTACCCCTTACCCCTTAATCGGCCCTTAAAGGAAGGGGCGCGTCAAAAGTGCCTCAAGGGTTCGTCTGATCGCCAAAATAAGGGTCGCAATCGATTCCTCGGGTCAATATCTAGCCGCAGCCTCGGGTTCCAGATGTGTGCAACTTACCCCTTACCCCTTAATCGTCCCTTAAAGGAAGGGGCGCGTCAAAAGTGCCTCAAAGGTTCGTCTGATCGCCAAAATAAGGGTCGCAATCGATTCCTCGGGTCAATATCTAGCCGCAGCCTCGGGTTCCAGATGTGTGCAACTTACCCCTTACCCCTTAATCGGCCCTTAAAGGAAGGGGCGCGTCAAAGGTGCCTCAAGGGTTCGTCTGATCGCCAAAATAAGGTTTGCAATCGATTCCTCGGGTCAAAATCTAGCCGCAGCCTCGGGTTCCAGATGTGTGCAACTTACCCCTTACCCCTTAATCGGCCCTTAAAGGACGGGGCGCGTCAAAAATGCCTCAAGGGTTCGTCTGTTCGCCAAAATAAGGGTTGCAATCGATTCCTCGGGTCAATATCTAGCCGCAGCCTCGGGTTTCAGATGTGTGCAACTTACCCCTTACCCCTTAATCGGCTCTTAAAGGAAGGGGCTCGTCAAAAGTGCCTCAAGGGTTCGTCTGATCGCCAAAATAAGGGTCGCAATCGATTCCTCGGGTCAATATCTAGCCGCAGCCTCGGGTTCCAGATGTGTGCAACTTACCCCTTACCCCTTAATCGGCCCTTAAAGGAAGGGGCGCGTCAAAAGTGCCTCAAGGGTTCGTCTGATCGCAAAAATAAGGGTCGCAATCGATTCCTCGGGTCAATATCTAGCCGCAGCCTCGGGTTCCAGATGTGTGCAACTTACCCCTTACCCCTTAATCGGCCCTTAAAGGACGGGGCGCGTCAAAAGTGCCTCAAGGGTTCGTCTGTTCGCCAAAATAAGGGTCGCAATCGATTCCTCGGGTCAATATCTAGCCGCAGCCTTGGGTTCCAGATGTGTGCAACTTACCCCTTACCCCTTAATCGGCTCTTAAAGGAAGGGGCGCGTCAAAAGTGCCTCAAGGGTTCGTCTGATCGCCAAAATAAGGGTCGCAATTGATTCCTCGGGTCAATATCTAGCCGCAGCCTCGGGTTCCAGATGTGTGCAACTTACCCCTTACCCCTTAATCGGCCCTTAAAGGAAGGGGCGCGTCAAAAGTGCCTCAAGGGTTCGTCTGATCGCCAAAATAAGGGTCGCATTATCAGACGATTCCTTGAGGCACTTTTGACGCACTTTTGACGTCAAAAGTGCCTCAAGGAATCGTCTGATAATGCGACCCTTATTTTGGCGATCAGACGAACCCTTGAGGCACTTTTGACGCGCCCCTTCCTTTAAGGGCCGATTAAGGGGTAAGGGGTAAGTTGCACACATCTGGAACCCGAGGCTGCGGCTAGATATTGACCCGAGGAATCGATTGCGACCCTTATTTTGGCGATCAGACAAGCCTTTGAGGCACTTTTGACGCGCCCCTTCCTTTAAGGGACGATTAAGGGGTAAGGGGTAAGTTGCACACATCTGGAACCCGAGGCTGCGGCTAGATATTGACCCGAGGAATCGATTGCGACCCTTATTTTGGCGATCAGACGAACCCTTGAGGCACTTTTGACGCGCCCCTTCCTTTAAGGGCCGATTAAGGGGTAAGGGGTAAGTTGCACACATCTGGAATCCGAGGCTGCGGCTAGATATTGACCCGAGGAATCGATTGCGACCCTTATTTTGGCGATCAGACGAACCCTTGAGGCACTTTTGACGCGCCCCTTCCTTTAAGGGCCGATTAAGGGGTAAGGGGTAAGTTGCCCACATCTGGAACCCGAGGCTGCGGCTAGATATTGACCCGAGGAATCGATTGCGACCCTTATTTTGGCGATCAGACGAGCCCTTGAGGCACTTTTGACGCGCCCCTTCCTTTAAGGGACGATTAAGGGGTAAGGGGTAAGTTGCACACATCTGGAACCCGAGGCTGCGGCTAGATATTGACCCGAGGAATCGATTGCGACCCTTATTTTGGCGATCAGACGAACCCTTGAGGCACTTTTGACGCGCCCCTTCCTTTAAGGGCCGATTAAGGGGTAAGGGGTAAGTTGCACACATCTGGAATCCGAGGCTGCGGCTAGATATTGACCCGAGGAATCGATTGCGACCCTTATTTTGGCGATCAGACGAACCCTTGAGGCACTTTTGACGCGCCCCTTCCTTTAAGGGCCGATTAAGGGGTAAGGGGTAAGTTGCACACATCTGGAACCCGAGGCTGCGGCTAGATATTGACCCGAGGAATCGATTGCGACCCTTATTTTGGCGATCAGACGAACCCTTGAGGCACTTTTGACGCGCCCCTTCTTTTAAGGGCCGATTAAGGGGTAAGGGGTAAGTTGCACACATCTGGAACCCGAGGCTGCGGCTAGATATTGACCCGAGGAATCGATTGCGACCCTTATTTTGGCGATCAGACAAACCCTTGAGGCACTTTTGACGCGCCCCTTCCTCTAAGGGCCGATTAAGGGGTAAGGGGTAAGTTGCACACATCTGGAACCCGAGGCTGCGGCTAGATATTGACCCGAGGAATCGATTGCGACCCTTATTTTGGCGATGAGACGAGCCCTTGAGGCACTTTTGACGCGCCCCTTCCTTTAAGGGCCGATTAAGGGGTAAGGGGTAAGTTGCACACATCTGGAACCCGAGGCTGCGGCTAGATATTGACCCGAGGAATCGATTGCGACCCTGATTTTGGCGATCAGACGAACCCTTGAGGCACTTTTGACGCGCCCCTTCCTTTAAGGGCCGATTAAGGGGTAAGGGGTAAGTTGCACACATCTGGAACCCGAGGCTGCGGCTAGATATTGACCCGAGGAATCGATTGCGACCCTTATTTTGGCGATCAGACGAACCCTTGAGGCACTTTTGACGCGCCCTTTCCTTTAAGGGCCGATTAAGGGGTAAGGGGTAAGTTGCACACATCTGGAACCCGAGGCTGCGGCTAGATATTGACCCGAGGAATCGATTGCGACCCTTATTTTGGCGATCAGACGAACCCTTGAGGCACTTTTGACGCGCCCCTTCCTTTAAGGGCCGATTAAGGGGTAAGGGGTAAGAGCTAGGGCCAAATAAAGGTCATATTCTTGCTTCCCGTCCCCCAATTGACATAATATGAGTTTTTTAAGCGATTCTGAATCCGACGCTGTGTTCGTTGCTGTTGCTGACGCTAACTTCACGGACATAGTTTTCCCCTACATCTGGATGCGCTTTTCCTCTACAGCATTCTCTACATTACCAGCGCATTCATTACAAAATACAAAAACAATTTATCGGGCGCGTTATGCTTTTTTAATTTCAATTTGTTATGTGATTTATATGTAGAATAAATGAATTATAGTACCAGTAGTGTGTTTATATACCTTGTATAGTACTGACTGCTGCAGAAGAAACACTCAAACACTGGACGTTGACATGGATCAAGAAGTGGATATTGTAGGTACCTACCTACGTACCTTTTAAAGTTATTATAGTTTGTAAGACGCAATTTTGATAACGGCATGCAAGGTACCTCAACCTACATATCAATAGGTATATGTCAAGATATAGTCTGGATAATTTTTCAAAGATAAATGATTTATCCGACGCTAATAGTCAAGTTTGACTGATGTGTCGCTAAACAACCAAGAAAACAACCCAGTTGGGCAAACTAGACCTTTGGAATCAAAATATGGAGGCATCAAAAGATTGATTCCTTTTGGGCATAAATGCAGACCATTTCTAACTTACCAATCACATAAAAATAAGAGTGTTTCAAGAAGGAGCATGCCTGATCTTGAACAGAAATGCTTGAACTATCTCCTAAGCAAAATAATATTGCTCTTATCATAACAATTTAAATTCTATAGGTAGTGAAAGGCAATCAAGGAATTGATTCACTTTTAACAGATAATCATAATATTGATTCCCCATCAGCTGGCTAATCATTATTTTGATTCACAGGTAATGTTAACAGATAGGCAACAATGACTTGCAAGAATACAGCATTTATCTTGCTATTATTCTCATTTAGTGGTATCCTCAGCACCACAACTGATACCTATAGCATTGTTGTACTTTACCTTCACTACATTTGATAACAACTCAAAATTTTTAAATGTCAAGAATACAAAAACTGAAGCAACAGGTAAAAACCATATAAGTAATATAAAAGCACTACAACAATGATAATTAGGGGTTTAAAAATTTCATTTTGCCATTTTACACAAATACTGATTGGTTAGTAAGTGATTCATGATACAGAAATAACATACAGTGTGATTTCCTCAAAACAGCTTTTACGTGATGGACAGTGGCTCTGTCTTTTTCCCATTCACAAGGCCAAGGGGACAATTTCTTAGCTTTGAGGTAACACTTTTTGCAAACCTACCACATTTTTCTACCTTTTAAAAGAAAAATCTCACCGTCATGGGCCTTTTTTCAACCGTAACGATTCATTTGAAGTCAAAAGTGTACCCAAATGAATCAAAAAATTGATTCCATGCCCATATTTGGTCATGGCTCCTCCCACCAGAATCAAATTATTGATGCCTCCATATTTTGATTCCAAAAGTCTAGTTTGCCCAACTGAACCAATAAATGTTTCATTTTACCAATATGCACCATGTAATCTCCAAGTCCACATCCTGGTGACTGGCTACAGAACATAACTTTTTTGAAAATATCATAAAAATATCATTGGTTTGTTACTCTATCTTAGAGATTTTGTACATGTGATTGACATGCATCTTATGCTTCCCTATATATATAAGCTGAGCTTATATCCTTTTGAAGATAGACACCATTGACACCAAAGTTGAGTTGCTACCATCAGTTTGTTTTGTTTCACAGAGCATCATCATCCCAGTCCACAATGCCGAGCGGTGGCTAGCTGCCTGCCTGCAGTCAGTAGCGGACCAGGACCAGGACCCCAGTCTCCGGGTGGAGGTGTCTGTATATCTGGACGGCAGCACTGACCAGTCAGCTGCCATTTTGGAACATTTCAGCTGCCAGCTGCGGCAGAAAGGATACACAGTGGTTGTGTCCTCTGGTACTCCTGCCCATGGAGGTGGGTACGTTTCAGGACGTTACTACAGCCTCTCCTTGGTCCCTACTAGTAGTTAAACCTCATTTTCTTGCCATCAGGTCTCTATGGGACCAATATGTCATAATATGTTTCTTTGGTAAAAATACAAACCCTAATGCTCAAAGGCATTTGGAACACAGGATAATTGCTTGAGCTGATACGATACATTACATATGCCATGCATATTGCATTACAGCCACAAACTAAATAGCTACCTAATAAATGTCAGACTAAGTTTTGTGTCTGATACACACGTGGTACACCTCAACTTGTTTTGCATCCTTTCAGCGGTGGACAATTCAAATTGGGCCGAGTTGGGGGATAGCACCAGCTTTTCCAATTCCACACCGGCTTGACTTTGGAGCCGCAACAAACGGAGGAGGTCAAGGTCACCGCTAGAACGGCGGCGGATTTGCTGCGCCCCTTGCAACCCCAACTCGGCAAAAGTATCCAGCCCTACATCCTGTGGCCCCTATCGTACATTATACGCCTATTGAGCACCTTGCTACCCTCAATGCCCCTTTAACGTAACGTTATTCATTATTTCGCGCGATGTACGGTGCACTGGCGGATCCAGTCAAGAGTTTTGGGAGGTATAAACCATAACAACATAGCGGTTCTTTCCATGCAGTGTATGTAGGCGCCGTAATGTTAAAATTCTGCCGTTTGGAAGGGGCAATATTTGCCCTCCCCTGGATCCGCCACTGATACGGTGGATCGGAATCCAGAAGATGTCCGTTGACGACTCGTGTTCCTAAATGCTTCCGGGAGTAACTGGAGTTTTCTTTTTCGCCCTCAGTCGGATACGCCAAGAATCGAGCTGTAGCTCAGAGCTTGGGAAGTTTTCTTTGTTTTCTGGATGCTGTGAGTATGGGTCTTCGCAAGGGATTTGTTAGCAAATATGTATGTTGATGTGTTAGGGTTGGTTGTCAGCATTATTAAGCGGTGCTTTGAGAAGATCGCCGCAGAATCATCCCATTGATATTTCAGAAAGATGCGCCATGGAAGATTTCATTGACATTTGACATGTGCGCTGTTTTGTATCATCATGTCACTATTGTTTGTGGTCAGTCGGCCGCTCATGGGGCGCGGTAGAATACTCGCGAATGAATGAACGAGATAGAGTAGCAGGCAAACGTTAACCGATGTCAAACTGTCACTCTCCTGTCACACTACTGCGGAAAAACTCCGTTAAACTCCGAAAAACTCTGCTCCCTCCGTGATCAATAATTAAACAGTGATGAAGTACCCTGCCCCTTTCAACAGGATGATGTGATGAGACCCTGCCGTCTCCGATGCCAATACGAGGAGGCTGCCAAATTTCCGGATGCGGTGAGTATTTCGTAATTCATTCACTCGATTTTAGAAGTCCAACTTCAACATTTGATGTAATAAGCATTCTGTTGTGATTCTGTAATAAGCATCGCTGAACATTTCGACTCGCGCTAGTCTAAATCTGTGCAGCTGCTCGAACGGCGTATTGATAAATGATAAGAGAATATCGTAGTCGTCTAGTTTTCATTCCTAGGTAGCGATATTGCTCGATCCTAGCATATTGTCTTTGACAAACGTCGTACTGTTCTTCTGTCGTCATGTATCTAAATTATGTTGCTATAAATGTTGTCACTTTATCGTGGAATTCAACTCTTCCATCTCGTTTTACCGAACATTTTGACCCGTTGGTAGATCGTTGGCGGTCGGTTTGTTCGTGAACCGGCAGACTCCACCGAACGTTACACCCGCTGGGCCAATCAGCTGTCGCCGCGTCAGCTGACGCAGCAGGTGGTGACGTCACACGGTCCGACAGTCATCATGCCAACCTGGTTCTGCAGTCGCGCCGTGTTCGATCGGTAAGTCGAGATTAAATGACGTCGCTAGATAAATCGTAGTATTGTATTGATTGTTTAATCGGCTGAGCGTGCTTTATATGGGCTGTGGCGTTTTCAATTCGTCCATTCAAAGCTTTCAAGCATAATCTTTACTCTAGATAAAGTTTGATATGCATAATACATAGCGCTCTATGGTGGAATGACGTTGGATCGTTGAAACACAAGCTCAACTAAATTAAATAGAAGATAATATGCTCACTTTATCGTCCTCGCTGTTTCACTAAAGATGACCATTGACCACTTGCAATCCTGGCGCCCTCCCCCCTAAAAGGATCCGCGCTCTATCAACCCGCGTTCTATCAACCCGCGCTCTATCAACCCGCGCTTTTCAGCGTGGGCGGGTTTGACGAGTCTGGTCGCGGCACTCCGGAGGACCTGATATTCTTCTACCGACACCTGGACCTGGGCGGTACGGTACGCCGCGTACCCGACGAGGTACTGGTGTACCGGTACCATCCGGACGCGGTCACCTTCACCATACATGAGTGAGTTGGATTCTACCCGCTAGAGGCATTACATAGTTAGATATTTTCAGCGGGACCTATAATATGGATGGAATGTATCAGTTTGTATGTTTAAACTTCCAAGTGGAGCCAGTTTTGTGCGTTTTAAGTAATTCGTAAATCGTTATGGTCAATATGTGTTTTATTTTTGACGAGGCCGACCTATCTGCATAAATGCTACGCACTGTTTTGCCTTTGTGCAAAAGTACCTGTTTATATACCTTGCATTATAGTAGTTCGTTCTTGATCCATGCAAGACTGGCGCTCGATTCTTCACTCATACATATATGAATAAACGCATAATGACCCTGCTGTCAACGTAGCCTAAAATTCCATCAAACAAGACTTACACATACGACGTGACGGCGCACAATGTACGACCACACGACGACGTGACAATTGTGCGGTTCCTCACAGAGACACTATCTGGGCGCTAAGGCTAGAGAGGCTCTGTCGGCACTGGCTGGACGGATGGACAGCCGGTTTTACCATATGGAACGCCGGAAAACAGGGTAGGAAACTGTACCGAAGCCTGCCCGACGAGCTGAGAGACAGGGTGAGTTATTTGGTGCAATGGTGTGATCATTGTTTTATCAGCTTTACCGGGGCTAGATTTAAACGACCTTACTCTCGATGACTTTAGCAACATATTTTCGTCGTTTTCACATCCCCATGAGTCTGTGCGAAAACTACAAATTGTGACATCCATAGGTCGAACGCTAACCATGTAGCGTGGTTATTCGTCGCGGTACCCCTAAACGGCTGCCTTTTTGTTTGTTTCAGGTTCTGGCCTTTTGCGATGTGGATGAGCGCAAACTTCACCAGGGAGTTTACATCTACGAAAACAGCGAGCTCAGGCCCAAACCACGAGTGCCCATTGTGCATTTCAGCAAGGCTCAAAAGCCGTTTGTGATCTGTGTGAAAATGGACCTTACGGGCGGGCAGTTTGAGAAGAACCTGGCGAGCTTGGGTTTAGAGGAGACAAAAGACTATGTCATGTTCAGCTGAGTGTCTTTGGCGTTTGTCAGGTAGGGTATGTCTCTACAGACATACCACTAATGTGATATTGTCATGCATTGATCATTGTTATAGCACACTCCACATTCGTCTACATTACTGACGTCATGCTTTGGAAACAGCTGATACATGCGTTTCCAAAGATTATCATTGCAAAATCCACTTGTTCAGCGCTTGAATGTAGAACTATGTCGTTACTTGCGTTGTTATTTTGTGCTCGCAGTCGGGCGTCAGCTGATATTTTGCGTTATGCAAAATGAGGATATACATAGTGGTTTTCGTATTTCCCCAAGCTGCTGTTAAGTATTTGACCACATCGTGTTAAGTACCGGCATCACCATTTTTTTCCATCGACTTATTCCAATACAAGACTCTTTGCTCTCCCCATGTTCCTGGCCTCATTGTTTTCATCGTTTTTCTACCGGTTTACGCAAATTACAAATATCCAGAGTTAGACCTGAGACCCAAAACCGAACACTTGGTCGTCTTTGACAACAGAGACGGCGATGGTCGTCTCTGCTACGGAGATTAGTGAATAGTGTGCGGTCCGTGTGTGTTGGTTAGGAAGCTTACTATCACAGTCCTATGGGCAACCAAGAATACACCCATGATTCCCTTCGTTCTCGCATACCCCAATTCTCCAGAGTCCAGAAAGATAGTTCGCGACCCCGGGGATATTGATAAGAAGGAAGGTATACCTACATTTTTAGGCTTTCAACGAGTACTAGAAATTTAGAATGGAGTAATCAGTTGGTAGAGATCAGCTCAGTTGGTAGAGCGTTGGACTCCGCGTGGTGAGAGCACGCGTTCCCGGTTATAACAGTCCGGGTTCGAAGCGCGACGGGCGCTTGACATTTATGGGCCTCCTGACAGGTATGGCTGCGGTTGGTGGCAGGCCGTAGCCAGGCGAAGTCAGTGAGGGGACCGGCCGTGCGCGGCTATGTGCGCACGTTAAACTTTGGACTCCAAATTCTGCCATAGAACCGGAATTGCGCGATCGGATGGTAGAGGGCAGGATCACCGCAACAAGCTTCGCTTAGTGGTGGCTCTGTCCTTGTGAATCCTTCCTATCAAAAGATTCGGACTAAATTTATAAAAAAGTAATGTAAACAAAGCTTAATGGAGGTTCCGGTCAAGATTCTTACAGTTCCGGTAACTTCATCGTGATATACGTTGGTCTAGACTGTGGACATATTCCATCGGTATTCGGGAATAGGACCCCTGTTTTAGCGTCTCGTTTGGGGGGCTGTAGATCGCTGCTGTTTAATGAGCATTTGGAAATGCTTTCTATTGCAGTGTTTTAGGGTAACGCAAAGCAATGTCGCGCCATGGGTAACAAGCGCTATAAGTAAAAATGAAAGCGTCTTTTCAAAGTGCTTTCTTTAAAATATTCCCCAAAATATTCGTCAGTTTTATATAGAAATATATTTTTTCAAGGGGTTTGAGTTTTTAAAGGATTAATTAAAAATAATTTAAAGCAACTGGTTCTAGTTTTATTTCTTGCCGCTAGTCTCGCAAAACAAACCTCCTTCTTCGGCGACGAAGATGGCGCGTTATTTTACGTAGCGTGACTCGTGCTTGTGTGTGCAAGCAAGTGATCAAGCAAGTGATAAAAACAGTGGAATAGTTGAGGGTACGATTCTACTTATTTGTGTCCGTTACCCATCATCTTCGGGTGTATTTCTTGTTATTTTTATTTGACTGTCTCAATCGCTGCTTGTTTTTGTCCCATCGGTTTCTGTTATTGTTTTGGCTGCCGCAAAATACCCGCCAGCATTTGTGCGCTCTTTTTGCCGTTGTTTTCCTGCGTGATCTGCACTTACATCATGCAAAGTGTATGTTGACAATGAGGCAGAAGTTCCATGATAAAAATGATTTTACTGCTATAGGACATTTGAAGCTGCAACAAGATCCTATAAAACTGTCCAAAGTAAATGACAAATGCAGAATTTTTCCACGGAACTAGCATGCTGATGTTACTTTCTAGGTTTTGACTTTTGAATGAATAAAATCAAATGTTTTCATGCTGCATCCTGTAAGTTCAATGACTTTGAAGCACATTTGCCTTTCACACTATAAACAGTGAAATTGCTGGCACACTAGGCTAATAATTGAATAAAAGCCTCACTGTTGTCAAACCATATCAATATATGAACCTAGAAAGCTTTTATTTGATCATTGATGCTAAAAAATAAGGTACACTACAAGCAGAAACAATAAAACCTAGTCTAACCTGACCTTACCTTACCATACCAAGCATAACAACTAACATTACCTTGCTTGCTCACTGCTCAGGCAAGGCTTGCCTGACTCAACTCAACGTGTGGCTGGGTGTAATTAATAAAAAAAAAATTGTGTAAGAAGTATCAATTATCTATGTGGGGTCTTGCTTTTCTACCTTAGAATCATGTGTTTTTTCTTTTCATGTTCTTGTGTGAATCCATAGCTTTCTAAAGGGTGCAAAAAGAGGAAATCACCTGGTCATAGAGATACTCACTTAATCTACGTGTGCTTTTCTAAGCTTCCACTGGAAGGCTTAAACTCTTGGATATAATAGACATTGGTAAATCTACATTAACCTTCAAGGCCATGTGATTTGTCCATTTTTGTTTTGTTTTTTGTACCTACTTTAGCAGGAGTAGCCGTGCATATTGTCTGATGTTTCTCATGCCATTGGCTCCATCAATTCAGCAATTATGCAGGTGATGCTTACCACTGCATAAAGTGCAAGGGCTGGTACTTTTTTTTTGAAGATGCTGTGTGCATTGAAGATGCCATGGTGAAATCCAATGCATGTCATTTTGTTGCTTAATACTTGACTGAATAAACCATTTTATTATTTCTGTCTAAGCTTGTGGAAATTAAATTAACATGTTATGACTTTTTGGATGTAAAAACTATGGGCAAATAATAATGCATTACCTTTAAGATAAACCACTTATGTGCTCACCATAGCAATAAATGCTTAGCACAGTAGAAAGGAAAGAAACATATGGGAGCATTGGAGTTTTTCTCTTATTTTATATAGTGCAACTTACTGAAAAGTTTGTCAACTATGTTGCTTGCTGATCATACATCCTGGTCACTTTTATCCACATCTTGATGATATTCCAGTGATGATGTTTCCAGCATTAGAAGCCTAGCATTGCCATCAGGTTTCAGCTTGCCATTGACCAACAGCAGTCTTAATGTTTTGAATGCATCTTTAATTTTATCCTTGTTATCAAACCCCTTTTGGAATTCAAATAGGGTCTTTTGTTTTCAGTGATTTGATCTCTTTTATGTCTTGCACAGTGATCTAAATGATTTTGCATGATGTTTAAATATTTTTTTATAAGGATTGGTCTTTATTGCCCCTGATATCTTGATTGCTGATGGAGTTTTGTTGCTAGCTTAAACTCTAAATGTCCATTGTGTAAACAGAACTGTATTTACCAAGCAAGCATGAACGACGAACGTATTTTGTTAAAATCAAATATGCGCTGGATATACTCCCCTTTACATTAACTCGTGACATGTTGGTTTGTGATAAGGCATCACCAGAATGTAAACATCCAAATGTGTATTTTTGGTAACAGCTGAACCTATGTTTAGCTAATAAGAACAAAGTTGGTCCATTCTCTCTGAACCCTGAAGCCCACATTTAGAATGCCAGTGGCTGCCTATTCTTACTGGGATCTCATTGATGCGCCTCAGTTGGTTCTTATTGTTACTCCTAACATGGAAAAGGTCTGATAATGGGAACTAAACCATCCCCTCCCAAATGCTGTCAGATGTGGTTGTGCAATGATGCCCATACCTAATCGACGATGCATCTCCCAGTTGCCACATAGGACCCTTGCATGGCCATAGAATGATTCCACCATCGACGCGCCCTTTGCCCCCCTCCCCCTTCAAAGTGGGTGCATTGTTAAATGACTAAATGCGAGACCAGTAAAAGCAGGGAGGAGTGATGATTTTCTAGGGACAAAACACGTGGACGAGGAAACGGGGAACGCAGGACTGACTGATAAGGCCATGCTGACAATACAAACCACAAAACAAGCGACCGATCGGATGTACGCAATCGGCGAGCATGGGTCGAGATCCCTTGTGGTTGCCGGGTCTTGGGAGCTGGTCAGAAGCGGTTAGGGGCGAAGTACGTTACCACAACCCTATGTCATATCAGCTTTGCCGTCGCACATGATAACTGAGTGACTATAGTCGGCTAGAAATCGCCGATGTTTTCTTTGATGTTTGAGCTTTTGTTATTTGAGTTACACACCTGATGATGGGCTTCTTTTCCGCCTGTCACAGCTGGGGTCGCGGATACCTTAGCCCGGAGACATGTCAGCAATGACACGCGCCGTGGAAATGGTGCGTAAGGGCGTATCGAAGCACAAGGCGGCCGGCCTCTGCAATGTCTCTCAGAGGTGAGATGCGGGGATGGGTTCTGCGGGGTGGTAGGGACGTTGGGAAGATGAGGAGCTCGAGGGGTGGGTCAGGGCTGATGCCCGTGATGTTGCTTTACCTGGTAGCATTTATGGTTTTGGAACACTTAATTATACGCAAAAAAAATCGATAAATAACATAGGAAAAACTATGACATGCTCTCGACTTCTCCACCTTTTTCTCGAATTAATAATCAAATGAAGTTACCAGAAGCTGTTATTTTCATTTAGACTTTCCAATGGTTCTGCCATGTCTAGTCACTCAAAAGCTCATGTGAAGATGACCTATTTTCGCTCTCTTCATCACCAGGCTGCTCTCCTCCCTACACAGGGTGGGGCTCCTCAGCCCCACTGTATAGTCGACAACAGAATGATGTTCCACTTTTCACAGGCAATTATTTGCCTGGAGTGGTAGGCTGTGGCGCATCACACGGGCTGAGTTCACAAATTATAGCTTTGTCCCAATGCTCACAATCGACACGCTTAATTGCTTGATAAACGGCACAACTTAGCGCTCCAGTCAACTGATAGCTTCTGAGGAGTGGAACATCATTCTGTAGTCGACTATACCGACCCCACTAACCCTCTCTAACTCTCTCCGCCCCCCGTGTGTGTCACAGTGCGCTGTCCACGGCCGTTCAGACGGAGACGGCGCGCCTGCTGCGGCACCTACTCACCCCGGCCGAGGAGTGTCTGTTCGCCAACGTACTCATACAGCTGATTGAGCTCGGCTGGGAGCTAAACCGCGACTCCGTCAGGGTGCTGATGAAGTGGTTCCTGCCCATGGTCGATAAAAAACGGTGAGTGGGAGGCGCGGGAGGTGTTGGACCTATTAGCAAGGTTGGCCTTCATTGGTAGTTGGTTTTGGGCATAACGTTTCTAGCGTACTATTTTAATCTGCCGGGCAGATTTGACAATCCTCTACTTACGGCAGATTTGTGCTGTATTGGAGTGTGTTATGGCGTAAGGTGACTCATGCTTGATTCATGGCACCCTCTTCTTGGCAACGGTGACTCTAGACCAAAATATAACGCCTAGATATGCCGAAGCAATGGCCTCACGGTTAAAGTCTTGTTGTCCCCAAACAAACAAAAATTATATGAGATTTCCCTTGCTAGACCTCGTCCCACGTTAAATGACTCACCCTTTCCTAAAATGATGCTCCCTCATCAAATAACAGTCTCTCTCTCTTCAATAGCGTTGGCCGCACATCGTGACTTCGTCAAATCAGTTGAACAGTATCAGCTCTCTACCAGTCTCAACCCACACCTTATAACCTCCCCTCCCCTGTCTCAGCAGACTGACACTCACTGCCCCCCCCCCCCCTTCTCTCCAGCGGTGACCGGGTAGTGGCCGACCGCGAGCTCTGGCACCAGTGGGTCTCCTGGTTCGAGCGCCACTGGTCCCGGCTGCACGGTATGATCAGCATGCTGCCCGGCCAGCCCACTGATGAGTTTCTGGAGGTGGCCAAACAGGTGGTGAAAGACGGTCTGAGCGGACAGAAACAGCCGACTGCCGGGGCTGGCGCAGCCGCTACAGGTGTGTATCGGGGTGGGGGGGGGGGGGGGGGTAGATGGGGATAGATACCTACCTAGTGTGTTGTACAGCTGGTGTGAGAGGTGGATTGTCCAAATACGTAGATCCTACAGGAAGGAAACGTAAGGTGCATGCCATAGGTAATGCATAGATGCATGATATAATAAAATTTAATGTAATTCGATTTCAAAATGGTTAATTGTCTGACATCGCCGTGAAGCGACTTCTGCCACGTGAATATGAGTATATTTCCTGAGGCGTGATGTCCCACTGGCCTGACCTTAAACATCCCAACCCTGATCTCTCCTCTGTGACTTGAGTCTGACCTCGCTCCCTAACCCTGGCGCTGGCCTGACCTACCCGCAGAGCCGTCGCGCGTTCCCGAGCCGTCAGTGGCCGACGGTGAACCCCTCTACGAGGTGGAACAAATCCTGGCCAAGCGGAGCACCGAGGGACGAGGCGACGAGTTCCTGATCAAGTGGTGCGGCTTCGACCAGTGAGTTTTACCGGGAGAGACCTAACGACCTCTGCATGGGTCTCCCTGGGGCTGGACATGGGATAGCTCAGTTTCTTGTGAAGCAAAGATGGGACCTCCTCAGTCATTATCGGGATAGGTTTGCCTTAGGTTTGCTAAGTTTTCGGCGACCGTGATGTAATGCTAGTCTGGGCGTTTTTGCCAGCTCGACATATTGGGCATGTGGCGCTCTACTCTGCGTCTGCCGTGCTTCTTGTACGCACGACTTTTGATTCAGCGTGTTTTCACGCTTGCCAATCTTTCAGTTTCATTGCGTCTGCTATCAGATCGATATGATGGCTTTTTCGCCAGAACAATTCCAATTTGGAAACAAACTCTTGCCTAATTATTCACTGCAGCTTGTCTTGTCAACTTCCATAACTAGTTATTTTGGCTGCTGCTGGGCGCCGATAACCATTGTAGTCCGGGCGCCCAAAAACCCCAATTCACCATCATCATCATCATCGTAGACTTTGGCTGGAACTTTCCCATCTTACCTGCCTTGTTCGTCACACCTCGGTATAGTCTCTAAGACCCTCTAACGCCCCTTTCTTCACTCTGCAGCTCGGAGAACTCGTGGGAGCCCCGCGACAACCTGGACTGCGGTGCGATGCTGTCGGACTTCGAGCGGCGCTGGGCCGGCATGTCGGCGGCCCAGAGACGGCAGATGACCGCCGCGGCGGCGGACGGGGGCGGTGCGAGCAGCGCGGCTGTGAGGTGAGAGGGGGAGGAGGGAGAGAGAGAGAGAGAGAGAGAGAGAGAGAGAGAGAGAGAGGGGGGGAGATAGAGGGAGGGAGCTGAGGAGAAGAGACTAGAACGAACTGGGAGGTGGGAAGGGAGGAAGTGAGAGAAGAATGGTGGTGCTGTGAGAGGTGAAAGAGGGAGAGGGGAGAGAAGGAGATTTGGAGGGAGGGGAGAGCATTGGGGGAAGACACAAGTATGAGGTACGGAATTCAAACGCAGAAGGAAGATGCAGTTACAGGTTGGAGGGAGACTATACCATTTAGCAAACACCTTGTTTTTGTTTAACTTGTCCTGATTCACTGACGATAGCATACCTCATATTCTGACGGTAATGCCTGGATGTGACCCGTGTCGATACCTATCTAGCGACACACACCTCACACACCTCCGTCCATCGATCACAGGCTTCCCAGCGGCGGTGGCGGCGATTCCAACGGTCTGGGACCGGCATCGGCCAGTCCCAACTACACGGCCGTTAAGACCAAAACCACCGCCACCGCCTCCCCCGCCGCCGCCGCCGCCGCGAGCGGCAAGTCCAAGAACACGGCTAAGCTCGTGCCGCCTCTGCGCCTTGCGCCGAGCCCGGGCGGAAAGAAGGCGGCCGTGAAAAGGCAGAAAAAGAACGGAGAGGCAGCGGCGTCCAACAGTAAAGCAGGTGAGAATGTGGGATGGGATGTAAGCTTATGTGAGCTGGGGCTTGGTTGGGACTGCGTAGCTATGTTTTATGCCCAAGGCAGTTTTGAATGGTGCGAACATTTTGAATTGGACGTCGGAAAATGGCAATCGTATTGCTGCATGATTGTACATGAATGCCTATTTTTATGTCTCCATACACTGCACATTCACCGGCAATTTACTCCTAAACTTGTAGCTGTTGTATCCAGCCGCTGATATCTTCGCTACCCTTCTGATGTCAAGTTCGCACACACGTGACTCGATATTTACCTATTTTGTGTTGTGTTGGTTTTTCAGGTGGTGGTCCTCCGCTGCCCTCTGTCATGCCCAGGTAAGTCGTTCTCCCTCTCATATCTGAAATATCTGGTGATGGTAGTTTCTTGGAGCGGATAGCGGAGATGTTCTATTTCCACTACCTTTCCGGTTATAAAGGCGCAGTGGTCGTTAATCATGCGAGCCCTATATTTATTTTGTGTCTGGTGCGATTTACCGGTAATGGCAGCTTGAGCTAGTACGAAACACGAAACTTTGTGGCTGGAACGTTGTCTGCATCAATCCGATGATCACTTGTGACGCACACGACACATGATTCATAATATTTAGTACAATAATGTCTGACTCGTATTTCACATGACACCATAAAAAACAAAACTTCTGAAATGCGGAATTGTTGTCCGGTATAATTTCGTGACAGAGTGTTTTCTTTCTTCACAGGGTGACCCCAGTGTATCGGAAGCCGAACCTGGTGGTGGGACCGGTGAAACGTAAGTTACCCTATACTTGCGCTGGTTAGGTTCCCCGTAAAATTTTGCACTGATGCATGGAAGTGTGTTTTATGCCAAAGACTGTGGAAGATTGATCTGTTTTATTTTTCATTATTTCATGAAAGTTTTGGTGTCTCTGAGCACCTAGCTATAAATTTTGTCTTGTTAGTGGTGCTTACTGATTTTACTGAACTTGCATGGACTGCCTGGCTGAATACCATTATTTTTTATTGACTTCTTTTATTGTGCAGGATTGATCTAGTACGGCCAAAGTTCAATACTTACGTGATCTTGTTCAGTCAGGCTGGGACCTCAGCCATACAATGTTAAAAATATCAGTATCAAGCTAGGACATGGGTCCCGGTCGTTTCAACTTACTCAGTGCTAGCTGATGCCGGCGGCAGTTTTTCTAACTCCATTCCGTTCCGTCTGACAGGTCCCAGTTCAGTGCTGCGCTCTCCGCCCGGTCGGCCGGGCTCGTCTCTGGTGCCGGCGCCCCCGCCGCTCACCCCCGCACCGTCCCTGGCCCGGCCTCCGCCCAAACTCACTCCGAGAACACCGGTGGCCCGACCGCCCCCGCCCCCGCCCCCGCCGCCGCCGCCCCCGCCGCCGCCCCCGCCGCCGCCCCCGCCGCCCCCGCCGCCGCCGGCGAGACAGCCGACCCAGCCGCCGGTAGCGCAGGCTAGCGAGAGGTTATCATCACCGTCGTCGACCAGCCCGCCTGCAAAACGACGTCGCACGTCCAGCCATTTTGTTCTCGTGACGGACACGATGCGTCGGCGCGCCTCGCGGGACTCCCTGCCATCGCCCGGTGTGGGTCCAGGCTCGGCGGCGGGCGGGGTGGGGTCCCCGGGTGTTTCAGTGGCTCCCAGCGGCGGGGGCTCCCCGGCGGGGCTGTCACCCAAGGTGGCCGGTAGTGCCCGGCCTTCGCTATCGGTACCGGTCGCCGGACCAGTGGCGTCGCTGACGTCCGCCGCTGCGGGCGGTTTTCACGGGTTCACGGCGGCGGATATCGCCCTGTTGACGCATGGCCCGGTATGCCGGGCTGGCTGCCGTGAGCTGGCGATGTACCAGCCGGCCGGTGCCGCCGCCGAACCGTCTGCCGTGGCGCAGCGAGTGAGCGCCGTACGCCGCGCCATTGCCGAGCTCTACGAGAAAGAGCGGCTGGAGGAGCGACACCGGGAGGAGAGGGAGAGAGCGGAGAGGGAGCGCCAGCGGCTCTGGGAGACAGTGCTGGCGGCGGCTGGCGCGCGGCCAGAGGATCCCGAACGGGACGCCGACGCGACGGGAGACGACGCGAGCGACGCGGCTGCTCCCTGGCGCACCGACGACGCGCTGTCTTCCGAGCCGGAGGATCTGCCGGTGGATGACGACTCTGACACGGAGTCGGGGCGGCTGTTAATCGCTGATTCGGACTCCCGCGCCCCCACCCCTCCACCGGCGGTGGATATCGCTCGCGCCGACCGCCAGGCGGTGGTACACCTGGAGCGGCTGCCCGGACAGTACCTCCCACCCCCGCCGGCGCCGCTGCGAGCGATCCACACCACATCGGCCCGGCCGGCGCGAAAGAAACGACGCCGCATCAACGACTGCTTCTCATTTGCCGCTCAGAAGAAGAAGAGACGACCGACGGCCGGCGATTCGGTGAAGAAGGCTCCCGCGCGGCCGCGAGTGGCGAAGCCGCACGTGGGCGGCCCCCAGCCGCCCCCTCAGGAAGACGTGACGTCACAGGTGAGTCTAGCCGCGCTTGAGGTGGTATACTGCGCCGCCACAGTCAATGGTCAATGATTCAATGTTGATGTTGATGTTGATGTTGATGAAAAAATATGTACTGCCATGTTTTAACAAGTTTTTGTTTTCTTAATAATTTTTACTGCTTGCTACCATTCATTCGTATTGAATGTCTGGTTGAACATTTGTTATACGGCTGGTGGTGGTACATTTATGACCACTATCGTAACAATCGGTCACAGACTTGTTATCGTGTGTGTCAGGGCGCTGTCTGGCGCGTGTCATTTTATGCGAAACTGGGACGATGATTAGCATGATTAAGGGTGTCTGTAGGGAGCAAAAACAACGACGGTGCGGCTTTTCATAGGAGCTTTGAAGGTCTTCGTTTGGCTTTCTGTGGTAGATGATGGCTTGCATTATTATCCTGCCATGACGTCTCGATGCACGTGGACTTTGGCACAACTAGCGCAAGGTTTTACCCTCGGTTTCGATACCATATTGGAAATTTAACAAACCATCCGAAGGTCATAAGTCATCCCACAGATCTCTACTTGTTTTCCTCTGTGCTGCGTTTTCTCATCAGTCAGTAAACGCCCTCTGTCCTGTTTTCCGTCAGGAGGAGCACACTCGGGAGGAATCCGAGGAAGAGGAGGAGGAGCCCGAGGAGGAGAGCTCGGAGGACGAGGACGAGACTGAGGACACTTTCCAAAGCGAGAACGGTAGGGACGGCGGCTCAGGGGCACGATAGAGGACTCGCGAAGAGAGCCAAATGAGCGACCTTACCTGGAACACGCCGCGGCTTCTGCCCTCTCTCTCTCTCTCTCTCTCTCTCTCTCTCTCTCTCTCTCTCTCTCTCTCTCTCTCTCTCTCTCTCTCTCTCTCTCTCTCTCTCTCTCTCTCTCTCTCTCTCTCTTCCTCTCTCTCTCTCTTACTCTTACTCTTACTGTCACTCTCTTCATTTCACTTTCATATCGAGCTGTTTTGCACTTATTTGGTATGCAATCTGACAAACAGTTGATCCGTGTCACAAGTCATACCTGCCTGGACTCTAAAAACATCAGACCTGACATACCTTTAGACCTGCCCTGCCAACACCTCTGACTTTTTTAAAATAAATTTAGCTCGAATGTTTGAATAGACGGATTGACAGAGCCGGAGCCTGCGCTAAGCAGAGCTTGTTGACCTGACCTCTGACCTGACCTGTTCCTTCCAGGTAAGCCTGTAATCATGGTACTACCACCGGTGGTCCAGACGTTTTTCGGCGGTCAGCAGACTCGCTCTCTGGATCTGGATACCCGCTGGGGCACCGTTCATATCAACGTGGTGCCCAAGATCCGGGAGAAGAACGGAGCGCTGAGAGAACTGGCCAAAACGACACGGTAAGAGCGGCAGAAAGGAGGGAGTGAGGAGGGGATAGAAGGGAGAGAGGGTGGGAGAAGGCGATATGACCTAGCCATTGAGAACAAGATGTCTAAAGCTGATTGGAGGATTTATTCCAATACTCTTCGCTCTCGTGTGCTGACGAGTTGACCTACTGTCACCTGACCTGACCTGACCTGACCTGACCTGAAGCTGACCTGGCCTGACCTCTGACCGGTATGGCGTCGCCTCTGCAGGAAGCGAGTCGGTTTGGCCGACACTCGCAGTCTGCTCGAGGCGCGCTGCGTCTCCCGCGGCACGTACAAGTACAGTCGTCAGCTGGTACCGTTTGGCCAGCGGCCGCCGCCAGATCCGGCCGAGGCGGCGGACAGCGGAGACGGGGCAGACGGCACGCCGGTGGCGGAGAAACCGGCCGGCAGGGGACGAGGCCGGGGACGGGGCAGAGGACGGGGCAGGGGCAGAGGACGAGGAGCGGGCAGAGCGGCACACACGGCCGGCCCCGGTGAGCGGGGGTGGTGCCGGGTGAGGGTGGGGTAGGTAGTGGTCATAGTTTGCGGGTGTGTTGGGGAGGTCGTGGGGATATAAGTCCGATGGTGCATCCATTGCACTAAAGTTCTGCAATCTACATCATCCATGTCAAGATTCAGTTTTATTCATTGTCATCTAACTGGTACTGCGCTTTTGAACTGCGTATTTCGCAGGAAAATGTGTAAAGTTTTGCTTTTTTACCCATCGTCAGGCCGGTCTCCAAACAGCGTTGTTTGTGTTCACTTATGAAAATTCGCACACTGAACATATCGAAAGGTCGTCTACTCAGCTCCTGGGAGCTCTCTCTCTCTCTCTCTCTCTCTCTCTCTCTCTCTCTCTCTCTCTCTCTCTCTCTCTCTCTCTCTCTCTCTCTCTCTCTCTCTCTCTCTCTCTCTCTCTCTCTCTCTCTCTCTCTCGCACAAACCGTTCACTGACCCCTCCTCCGCCTCACAGCGACGCCCGTGGCCCGGCCGCCGGGCCGTCAGGACCTGTCCATTCTGGAGCGTCTGATGCTGGAGCAGTCCTCCTCGGTTCCGGGAGGAGCGGCCACTGCGGACGGGGCGGCGGCCGGAGGACAGCTGCCCCGGTTTGTCTCGCTGGAAGAGGACCTTCAGGTGAGGTCCCTGGAGGCCAACAGAGCTGGACGCTCGTAGAGGCCCATAGAGGCCCACAGAGGTACGCTCATATGAGTATCGTAGAGTTCGAGGGAAGCAAACATATTTAATGTCGTAGAGCTGATAGAGTGGCAAGCTCATAGAATATTACAGGCTCATAGAGAGGACTCATGTCGAGTAGATGTCAGAGACTCGTATAAGTGATTTGCTGATGGTGCGTGATGGAACACTGATAGCAAAACGCATTGGGAACCCACGGCCCGCACATAAAGTTATCCTCGGGTATTTCCTTTGCTTGCATTTTCCTGCTAGTTGTTTTACGACCAAACGAGTCACTGGTGTTTGTCTGTCTCAGCTCGGTGGCTGAATTGTTTGTTTAGGATGGGTGGTCTGACACCGCCCCCACTCAGCTGTCGAGAGTCACTGTCACAGCACGGCGTACACAGAGGCTACACAGGGGACGGCGGTATAACACAGGGGACGGTGGTATTACACAGGGGACGGCGGTATTACACATACACAGCTTGGGACGGCGGTGTTACACAGGGGACGGGGGTATTACACAGGGGACGGGGGTGTTACACAGGGGACGGGGTATTACACAGGGGACGGGGGTATTTACACATACACAGCTTGGGACGGCGGTGTTACACAGGGGACGGGGGTATTACACAGGGGACGGGGGTGTTACACAGGGGACGGGGGTGTTACACAGGGGACGGCGGTATTACACAGGGGACGGGGTGTTACCCAGGGGACGGCGGTATTACACAGGGGACGGGGGTATTACACAGGGGACGGGGGTGTTACACAGGGGACGGGGTATTACACAGGGGACGGGGGTATTTACACATACACAGCTTGGGACGGCGGTGTTACACAGGGGACGGGGGTATTACACAGGGGACGGGGGTGTTACACAGGGGACGGGGGTGTTACACAGGGGACGGCGGTATTACACAGGGGACGGGGTGTTACCCAGGGGACGGCGGTATTACACAGGGGACGGGGTGTTACCCAGGGGACGGCGGTATTACACAGGGGACGGGGTGTTACCCAGGGGACGGCGGTATTACACAGGGGACGGGGTGTTACCCAGGGGACGGCGGTATTACACAGGGGACGGGGGTATTACACAGGGGACGGGGTGTTACCCAGGGGACGGCGGTATTACACAGGGGACGGGGTGTTACCCAGGGGACGGCGGTATTACACAGGGGACGGGGTGTTACCCAGGGGACGGCGGTATTACACAGGGGACGGCGGTATTACACAGGGGACGGGGGTGTTACACAGGGGACGGGGGTGTTACACAGGGGACGGCGGTATTACACAGGGGACGGGGTGTTACCCAGGGGACGGCGGTATTACACAGGGGACGGGGTGTTACCCAGGGGACGGCGGTATTACACAGGGGACGGGGTGTTACCCAGGGGACGGCGGTATTACACAGGGGACGGGGTGTTACCCAGGGGACGGCGGTATTACACAGGGGACGGGGTGTTACCCAGGGGACGGCGGTATTACACAGGGGACGGGGTGTTACCCAGGGGACGGCGGTATTACACAGGGGACGGGGTGTTACCCAGGGGACGGCGGTATTACACAGGGGACGGGGTGTTACCCAGGGGACGGCGGTATTACACAGGGGACGGCGGTATTACACAGGGGACGGGGTGTTACCCAGGGGACGGGGTATTACACAGGGGACGGGGTGTTACCCAGGGGACGGCGGTATTACACAGGGGACGGCGGTATTACACAGGGGACGGGGTGTTACACAGGGGGCGGTGGTGGTACACAATGAACGGTTATTCACACGACTGTGCTGACATTTCAAAGGTTGGAACCTTACTCCACAAGAAGTCACTAATTGGGTCCAAAGCTTTCGAGACATAACGTCAGCGTGTCTTAATCGGATTCGGGGATATCAGTCGTAAAAGCATGGCCAGTTTTGCGACCGATACTCGTACAATTACGACACAATTGTAAGTGCAATTACGACACATTTGCGAGATGAAGTAATACATCTCGAATGCTCCGACCCTAAGGGATTTGTTGTAGGGTACAGTAGTTAATAATAGTCATGTTATGCATAGGTACCCTTTTCATACGCCTGAATTACTTTGGCGAAACCGTTTGGGTCATTCTAAACGTATCCTCTACCCCTCTACCTGACCTCGCTCTCTTTCTCTCTCTCTCCCCCTCTCTCTCTCTCTCTCCCTCTCCCTCTCCCTCTCCCTCTCTCTCTCTCTCTCTCTCTCTCTCTCTCTCTCTCTCTCTCTCTCTCTCTCTTAATCTCTTTATCTCTTTATCTCCTCTTTCTGCCATGTTCAGTATACTCTGGGTTGATACCCGAGGTTCACCACATTGCAGTCCATCCGCCCTTTTCTGATACGAGCCACCGCAGGCTCCGGCAGAGGCCGGGCCAGTGCAGATAGAGCGTCCGGCCGCTGCCGCCGGGGCCGCCAAGGTGACCCCTGTCCGTCTGAGCCAACAAACGCCCTTCCTTGCGGTATCTCCAACCCACAGGGTGTGATACATTAGTTCAACAGCATGCCAGTTAAGCATGCTGAACAGTACACACGCAAACGCAAAACAAGGATACGAAGCGGAGGTTTTGGTGAAGGTGTTCATTTGATAATTCAGCGGCCCTTTCCATCAGCATCTCTCTAGCTGATTCTTTTTCCTTTGCTGGTGCATCATCACATCAAATTATCATCATCTGGCTTCTGCTTTGGTAACACTTTAAGTGACCATTCCACCTTAACATTAGTTTTGAACTTTTGAGTTGAGACAGCCAAATTGGGGTCCCTGGCTTGCTGCTTGCAATTACCGGTTTGGGCACTTACAACATCGATAAATGCTTTAATTCGGAGATATTTAATTTCAAAGTCTGCAGTTTTCGGATTCTAAGGGGCTAATGCATTTGAATGCCCCTTCAGACTTTGTGACGTCAGCGCAGATCTAGCGATTTTTAAATCTTACACAAAACCTTGGTAACATCCATTGTTACTGTGGTGGTATATACAATATACATACTGCCTTGCGCGCAACATCCGTCGCACTTTTAGGATACCAAATAATTGCTTCCAAACGACGTCATAGGAACATCGAAGGCCCCCAAAAATAAACAAAAATAAAATTAATATCTAAAAACCGGTAAATAGTAGAGTTGGTAGATATTCATCTTTCCTCTTTCTGAACCCCGGTACATATTCACTTTATGCCAATTCACTAACTTTTTTTGAAGGTGGGACGGGAGGGTCCCCTTAAACTATGGCAAACAATTCCTGCACCTTTTCCTGCTTCCATCTCCCTCAAATTTCAGAAGTCATGGTGAAAAGGACTGCCATGAGCAGCTAGAAGACCCTTGTAACAGGCTGGTCCGTGGCAACTTGTAATTGTTTATCGCTCAGTCTGTCGGTCACGGGACCGGGCCGCGTCACCGGATGTGGCGCCTCTGACAGAGGTCAGCCGTACCGAGCTCTGCAGACGTCCTGCCAGCTCCGAGCCGTCAGTCCGAGGCCGGCAGCCGGCGCTGGCGGTGCCTCCTTCTTGGCCACGATGGCCCGCGGCTGGAGAGGAATCCTCGTGTCGACCTTGCTGGTGGTGTCTGCCGGCTGTTCCGCGGCACAGCAGCAGCAGCAGCCGGCCGCCCTGCCCAGCGCCACTGCCGACGAGGTGTTCAGCATCATCGCAAGAGCAGTTCAGCAAGAGCTACGACCAGTCGTCAGAAGAATCGAGTCACAAGTGGAGTCGAAAGTCATCAGCAGACTCGGGCCTCGAGTGGAGTCGCTGGACAAAGTCGTCAAAAAGCTCGAGTCTCGTGTGGAGTCGCTGGACAACAGACTGACTCTGCTCGACTCTCGAGTGACTGAATGGACCACCCACATTTTGAGGAGCAGGCAGAGTGAGCAGGTGGAAGAGCTGTCCAGTCAACTGACTGGAATCACTGCCAGACTCGACAGCCAGCAATCGCAACTGAGCGAGCTCAACACCCAGCTGAACGAACAAATATCGCAACAGGGGGAGACTGCAGCCACAATGATCAACCTCACAGCGCAACTGGATGGCATCGTTACTCAGCAAGGAGATCAACTCACACAGACGTCTCAACTGGCTACAAGGCTCGGCAGCCAGCAATCTCAACTGAGTGAGCTCAACACCCAGCTGAACGAGCAAAAATTGCAACAAGAGGAGGCTGCAGCCACCGTGAAAGGCAATATGGAACGACTGGAATCCAACGTAACGTGGCTAGAAAATCAACTAACAAAGGTGTCTGGACTGGCCAACAGGCTCGACAGCCAGCAATCACAACTGGACGAGCTCAGTGACCAGCTGAACGAGCAGAAATCAGTTCAGAACGTGACTACAGTCACATTGGATAATCATACAGCGCTTATTGATGCCACGACATCCCAGATTGTCACTCCAGTGTCCCAGCTGGCTGAGACCATTAACAAGACAACAGCCATACAGGAGAGCATAGATCGTCCGGCTTCTGAGGTAAAGCAGCTGCCTCCTCCCCGTGATTGCAGTGGCCTGCCTGTCGACTCCCCGTCTGGAGTCTACCTCCTTCTGCCCAGTGGCGACAGTCAACAACCACCCGTCCAGGCGTACTGTGATATGAACACTGCAGGAGGGAACTGGACGGTGTTCCAACGACGAGACGATATCAAGCCCCACCAGGACTTCTACCTGGGATGGACGGACTACAAGGAAGGCTTTGGTAATGTGACCAAAGAATTCTGGTGGGGCTTAGAACACCTATATCAGCTGACGTCATCAGGCCGACGGTACGAACTCCGTATTGATCTAGAGGCGTTTGACGGTAATCGATCATACGCTGCATACCAAGGGTTCCGTATCTCGTCTGAGAAGGACGGCTACGGACTGAGCCATACCGACTACTCGGGAACTGCCGGGGATGGTCTACAGTACAGCGTCAATGAGCAGTTCTCTACCCGTGACCGTGACCAGGACGGCTGGCTTTACTTTCACTGTGCACAGAAATATCTGGGTGCCTGGTGGTACGGCTGGTGCGGGAGGAGCAACCTGAACGGACGGTACCGGGACGGCGGTGATGAGGACCGAACTGGAATATGGTGGGAGACGTGGAGGGGATACGAGTCACTGAAGACGACAGATATGAAGATCAGACCCACCTACTAATCTACACACTAAGGAGGTCATCACAGCGGTGTGGTGTACAGTACACGTGACACGTACATGTGTCACAAGCACCGTGCGGCGGCCACGGCCATCGGCCCGGGCTGCCAGTGCTGCGACTGCAGAGCCAGAATCTGTTGTGAACGCGCGCGCGCGCTGGAGATGTTACTGATGGCTTTTCTGCGTATCAAAAGTATCGTCTACATACGTGTTTCTATATCTATACCTGTTTTTCGTCCTTAACTAACCTCTATGTGTATCGTATAATCATGAAATGTTTGGGTAAATAAACTTCTTTAACACCGAGAGTCTGTAAAATGTGTTGTACGTTCTACACAAATAAACGGAACCCACACCGAACAGTAGCCACCGCTGGTTGCGCCAGGGGCGGATCCAGGAATTTTCGGGAGGGGGGGCGGCAAGTTGAAATAGGGGCGACCTGGCAATCCGGGGGCGCCAAACCGTCGTCAAAATCGAGAGTTTAAAACCCACGCCGTGAGGGGGGCGTTGTCACGTCCCCCCTAGGTTTTTCGCAAATATCTTTAAAACGGCTGCGCGCAGCGCCGCCGTTTTCAGTATACATCATCAGTTAGGTTTCATATATCTTTTCTGCACATGTTGTAAAAATGTGAGACCCGGGTGATGCAAGGTCAGGTCACCAGGTTATTCCACGTGACCTAACCGTAGAAAAAGTTCAAATGTTCACCATTGCTATACCGACTGAACGATCGCTTTCAAACTTTCAGCAGTTGATGAAAGCAACAATATTCATGAAATGTATATCTCGGAATTTTGTTATGTGACCTAAGGTCAAGTCAGCTTTGCGACCTCTCTATTATATATACAGGGTGGGGCAGCATAATCGGGAATAAATATCAAACGGGATTATTTGGTCATGAATTTAAAAATACAGCTCCAAGCACTATTTTAGCAACATCCCATCAATCGGTCACCTTTTACCTATCCCTCATCTTATGTAACCGCCCTCGGCGTCGGTGACCTTCTCAAGGCGGGTCCAAAAGCACGCGCATGCACGTGCAACCTCCTGCTTGTCCATGATCGCCCATCAGCTTCTCACCTTGCACTGAAGACCGTCTTTACTGATGATAAGTTGTTCATTAACCTTCTACCAAAAAACGCTCCATGTAAAGAATTTGGTCGGATTTAAATCGGCGGAGTTGAAGGACCAGAAGTATTTGGTTCATCTCAGGTGGAGGTGCCCTACACAATAACATGTCGTCCTCACTGCAGTACCAGCACGGACAGAGTCCTCGTAAGACGTGATCTGGACCGTCAGTGATCCTCTGTTCCGACGGCTCCACGTGAGTCTGCCAGAGTGCGGATGTATTTACCAGAGGTGCTCATTTTATCCGGGCTCGATGAAGTAGGGTGCACCACGTGCACCTCCCTTGAAGACCACCCATAGGTCCATCACCCCAACAGGATGTTTACTTTGCATGACCGCTGGAATATTCTCGATACAATCCCTTATATGGCATGCCGTTCTTTTTTATCGTATTCCAGTCGGTGGTGAGATTTTTGGTCACTGAAGTTTTGAACATTGTTTCTTTTTAATATGCTCAAGAGCTTCTTCCTTATATTCAAGTGAGTCGTCTGTATGTCCTCTGCTAAGAGTTATTTTACGACGATTACGTTAACCTTTTGTCCTAAGTATTCCCACACAATCCTTATCGACCGTGATAACACGTTGACCTGTCCAGCACCGTTTACGTGGAATTGCAGGGTTTTCAACAAAATGTTCTTGTTTTACTCGTTTAACATTAGTGTCTATGGGCGCGCGCAAAGCACTTGGAGCACCGTCGAACTATTTTGCTGCTCTTTTCCAGGAGGTTGCATGCTCATGGATGTAGTCATGTCAGATGATGCACAACTTTTGGGCGTTTCATTGCCATGCTATAATTTATCAAAATAATGTCATACCTACTCATGATCAGAGCCCAAAAAGCATTCCCGATTATGCTGCCCCACCCTGTAGGTAAGTCTATGGGAGAAAATTGAAAGGCATCTCTTTTGGACGAGCGCCATTCTAGACAATCTCAAGCATTGGGATACAGATCAAATTAACACACTTAATAAGAACATTGCACCTGTGACCACTCATTAGTTATGTTCCAGAGGTTATCCCAGGTCATGAAAGGTTCACAGCTGTTTTTTGTAAATAACTTTTGATAGATACATGCTAGAGCGATAAAAAACTCAGTTGTGTTCAGCTCGACGATACGGATCGACTGATATGCAATATGATCTTTCCCGGTCAGGTCATGACTTTGACATGAGGTCAAATTCTCAAAATTGCCTTTAAAAGTCATCATATTGTTCATTCGACGCGTCTCGAACAGCAACGTGATGCTGGCAAAGGTAACGTCGAGACTCTTTTGAGTCAAAAGTTATTACAGGAAGACATTGTTAATTCGTAAAACTGCTATTTTTAGAGTTTTTGCCCTCCGAAGACTAAACCGTTAACCTTGTGTCATATCTGAGGACAGGTTACGGAAACAGCTTTAAAAGGGCTATCGAATGCGCTTTTCCGCTGCACTATAGCTGTATTGGTTTCCGAGTTAGGTATGTGCCGGTGTTTCGAAAAAAAAATGTTGAAATAGGCAACATTTTACTTTTAATGACCTATGGTGACCTGACCTTTCACCTGACCTAAAAAAGGACAGAGTTGTGTTCGTCCTGTTTTTGGACGATCTTTCGAATGCCGCTTACCGCGTGTCGCTACGCGGCCCAAGAGCCGAGTTGGACGAAGGGGCGTGACCCCCCCCCCCCCCCCCCCCCAGCACGGCACGGAAAACTTAGACCACTAGCACGGCGCGGGTTAAATGTCGTAGATTGGCGCCGCTTCGTTACCAAAAGGGATAAGCAAAAAGGTGGCCTCCATTTGCTGGTGCGTCCTTCTTCTCCCGGTGATGTCCCTCTTTTCTGGAAGCGTCTCACCTATGCTGGTATGACTATGCCTCACTTCTCCCGGGGGCGCCCAACCTCTGCTTGGATCGCCCAATCCGTCATGGGGAGGCTCACTTTGCTGAAGTCGCCTCATTTCTTCTAAGAACGACCAATTTGCTGTAGGCGGCCCACTTATCTGGGACGCCCATTTTTTTGCTAGAAGTGCCCCTCTTCTTCTTGATGCGTCCCGCTTCTACTGGGAGTGCACCTTTTCTGTTAGGGCACACCTTTGCTGCTGGGGAGTCCCTTTTTCTACTGTGAGTGGGGTGGCCCTTTCCTGTTCGGCGACCCCAAATTCTGCTGGGGGCGCCCCATTTCTGCCCAACTTTTGCTGCGGTGCCCCTCTCCTGCAGGGGCACTTATCTTTTGCTAGAGACGCCTCTTCTGGGGGCGCCCTTCCACTGCGGGGGACGTCTCTCTCCTGCCAGAGGCACCCCTTTTCTTCTTATGGGGCTCCTCTTTTTGCTTGGGCTCCCCTTTTGTGGTGCCCCGCTCTTCTGCTCGGAGCGGGGCACCACTCTCCTTTTACTGGGGCACAGCCCCTCTGCTGGGTGGCCCTTCCGCTGCCTCAGGGGCGCCCCTCTTGTGCAGAATATGCTCCTTTTCTTCTTGTAATGAGGCGCCCCTCTTCTACCGGGGGCGCCCAACAGCTGCTGTCTGCTGGGGCGCCCATCTACTGCTGGGACGTCTCTCTTCTGCCAGAAATTGTCAATGGGGCGCCCCTATCCTGCTTGGCGAGCCCAACCTCTGCTGAAGGCTCCCCATCTCTGATCAACTTTTGCTGTGGCGCCTCTCTTCTGCTGGGGGGGCTCCTCTCTTCTGCTGGGGCGCCCCCTTCTCTGGGGCGCCCGTCTCCTGCTGGAGGCTCCTTTCTCCTGCTGGGCCCCCTCCGCTGCCGGGGGCGCCCCTTTTCTGCCAGTGGCACCCATTTTGTATTATAGGGCTTCTCTTTTTTTGTTGGGACGCCTATCTGCTGTTAGGGCGCCCCTCTTCTTCTTGGAATGGGGGCGCCTCTCTACTTTTGCTGGGGCGTCGCTCCTTTTCAGGGGGACACCTCTCCTGCCAGGAGTGCCCCTCTTGAACAGAAGGCATCTTTTTATTCTTGTAATAAGACGCCCCTCTTCTGCTGGGGGCGCCCATAATCCATATGCTTCTGGGGCGACTCTGATCTGCTGGGAATGGGCAATTGGGCGTCGCTCTCCTGCTTGGTGAGCCCAACTTCTGCTCAACCTTTGCTGTGTCGCCTCTGTTTTGCTCGGGGCGCCCTCTCTGCCGCGGGCTATGGGCGCCTTTTTCGGATGTCGGGGGGGGGGGGGGCGGCCGCCCCCGTCGCCCCCCCTGGATCCGCGCCTGGGTTGCGCTATGTATTTATTTATTTATTTATTTATTTATTTATTTATTTATTTATTTTAATGGTGTCTGAAGTACTGCCAGTGCTTTTGAGACCTAAAATATGGCAGATTTGCTATAGGTAGGTAGCACACAATTGGTAATGCAGCCTATTTATAACAGATGGAGCCCAAAAATAGTTGATAAATCACATGGCGCCGTCATCTAGCCGCCGTTGTCAGTACTGGCAGTCCCTACAGCTACAACTGAAGGCAACGTTCTATCCAGTGTCCCATCCCGTCCCCGTCCACTGATGTATCTGCATTTGAGCCTAACGTAAGTCTGATTTACTTTGTGTAACACGCAATTGATACTGCAAGTGCAGACTATTTATAACAGATACACCTACCAGCAGTGTACCAGCCGCTTCCTGTCCCATTCCATCCCATGTGTCGTCCCATCCCTACCTGCTGCGTTCGAAGGAGCTGTCACACCGACGACAGTAGAATGTCGGCACAGGGGGACGGCGGTGTTACACAGGGGGACGGTGGTGTTACACAGGGGACGGTGGTGTTACACAGGGGACGGCGGTGTTACACAGGGGACGGTGGTGTTACACAGGGGACGGCGGTGTTAACTACACAGGGGACGACAGGGGACGTGATGCCAGGCTGGTTAGTGGTTACGTTAGGATTACGAAGCGGCCGCTCTGTTTTCTTCCCTTGATATCTCACTAAAGTAACGCTGATGCCACTATCAAACTTGAATTGCATCTTCCCAATTCTGCGCACGCTAACTGGTCGAAAAAGCAAATAAAAATTGTAACTAGATTCGTAACCTTTAACCCGCGCACCGACGGGGGGGGCGGATATCCGCCCCCCCCCCCCCTGAGGTTTTTCGCGAATAGCGGGAAAACCGCGGCGCGTAGCGCCGCGAAATTTGGTATGACTATTCCCTTATCAATTTTACACATGGTGTGCAAGTTTGAACCTCCTACCTTTCAAGGTCAGGTCACCAGGTCACTTTGAATGACCCAACCTCAAGTCACTTTTTTGCAACTTTGTCACCGTGCCAGAGCTACAGTAGATGTCGGAGGCCTTTGAAAGTCGCAGGATGTTATAAGGTTATTAGTAGCTACAATTTGTATATCTCGGAATTTTGATATCGGTGACCTAAGGTCAGGTCAATTTCGCGACCTCCCCATTATAAGTCAATGGGGGAAAAATCAACTCCCTGTTTTTACCACTAAAACGGGTCGGAATGGCCCCATATACCATACATGACTTCATATACGATCAACCTTCACTACCTTGAGGTCTGTTTTGCTGTTGGGCAGGCGGCAGCTGTGAGGTCATGTGACGTCATCAAAGGTCACCAAAGGTTTTTGACCAATAACTCCGTACAGGAACAAGATACAGACGCGTGGATGGTCTCATTGTGTTCAGCTCGTCAAGACGCATCGAATGATATACATGATGACCTCGAGGTCACGTGACCTGAGGTCAACCTTTGACCTTGACCTTTCGAGGTCAACATATATATCATTCGATGCGGATTGACGAGAGGATCACGATGATGCCCTTAGTTTGTTCCTATCTGGACTAATTCGAAAGTTATTCGAGAAAAACTCTCCATATTTAGCGCCGCCATTTTGACTTTTTCGACCCCTGTGACGTCATCTTTGACCTGACCTGAAAATGACCTTAGTAAAAATTGTAGATCTTGACCGTGCGTATCCGATGCCGTTTACCGCTTGTCGCTATCTTGCTTCGTTCTCGAGATCTCAGGGGGGCGGTCATCCGCCCCCCCCCCCGTCGGTACTAAGTTGGCGCAGACCCCCGTCGGTGCGCGGGTTAAGACCATCTAGTGGAAACTAGGATTACCGCTTGATCTCCAATGACGAACTGGATCGGGTAGTGAGGACCTTTTTCCGGGAAAATAATGTGTATTTGTTATTAGGCTCTGAGTGATCTGACCCTGACCTGACCTCGGCGTGTGCTTGTTTTATTCTTGACCTTTATTTTCCAGTGACCTTTTCCTAGGAATTTGAAATGCAAAAATGGTCAGCCAAGGCATGTGCCATATAATCGCAGTAAAGCTTTGGAGCAATGGGACCCTTTTTGACCTGACATTTTTGACCTGTCTCGTGATGTGAGTACTGAGTAACGTCATATAAAATGCAGTTCAAAGAATATCCTACCAATAAGAAATCAATAGTAAAGAATATCCTATCAGCCCTGCATATTCTGAAAGAATATTATATTCTTTCCTTATGGTGGATGCGTGATGAGGACGAGTGAGCTGACCTGCCCTGTACCCCTCCCTCCCCGTGCCCCCTCCCCGGGTGTCGGTACCAGTGCGGTCCTGTCCCTGCGGTGGCCGGTGGGTGAGTTGAGGGAGACAAACTCGATAGTGGTGGTCTGAACGCCGTCCGGGTCCCGGCAGACGGCCGCCGCCTGGTAATGTTCCTTCTGACTCTGAACCGACTCCGTGTGACTCACTCCCCGTCGGACTGTAAACTGCCACTCTCCGTCGACTCCTTTATGACTCTCCATGTGACTAAACTCACTCCCCGTGCTCTCCGTCTGACTCTCCGTCTGACTCTATCTGACTCTCCCCGTTCTCCCGGCAGGCGTCCAGCTCCGACTCCGACTCCAGCTCCGACTCTGGCTCCGACTCCGACTCAGCTTCGGCGGCCGACTCATCACCGAAGAAACAAAAGAAATCGTCATCGCTGGCCTCGACGGCAGCGGCGGTGGACGTCCGACGAACCCCGGACCAACGGCCGCCCTCCCCCGCCCCCGCCCCCGCCCCCGCCGCCGTCCCCACGGCCGCCCCAGGCTCCGAGAGAGCCGTTGACACCCAGAGAGCTGCTGACGCTCAGAAGTCTGCACCGAGGCGCGAGCTGGGACCGTCTCTGTCGGAGGAGTCCGATGAAGGTGATGACGCAGCTCAGACCGGCGGGCCGCCATCCGCTGTTGGATCTGGTGCACATGAGACTGAGGAGGAGCGGCCCCGCGCGGCGCAGGTGGATGGGTTGGAACGCAGCAGCGGTCTGGGTTCCAATGCGGACGATAAGGAGCTTAGGACTGAAGAACGTCCTGTACCAACGCCAGTGCAGCCGCTACCGCAGGAGCAGCAGCAGCAGCAACAACAACATCTACAGCTACAGCTACAGCAGAAGCAGCAGCAGCAGCAGCGGCAGCGGAAGACCGGAGAACTGGCTCTCTCGGAAGAATCTGATACAGAAACAGAGTCAGAAAGGTCGCCCGTCAAACCCAGACAGTCTCATGTTGACGCCAAACCGGTGAACCCGGCTTCACTGGCGCAGCAGCACAAACCTGAGCCGAGCTCGGAACTTCGTTCCATTGCCAAACCGTCCCTGTTCGGCTCACCGCCACTGTCAAAGCCAGAGCCGCCGCGGTCGTCTGCCAGACCTAGGTCGTGGCTGGCGCTATCTGAGGAGTCGGAATCAGAGGGTGAGGAAGCGGTAAAGCCGGTTAAATCGGTAGGTGACTCAAAGGCGGAGTCGTCGGCGGTGGTCGCGGGATCGGCCGCTGCACCGGTGGACGGTCCGTCGGCGATAGGTGAGACGGAAAGGGTGGCTGACGAAGGACGAGAGGTCAGAGTGGCTTCAGCAGAACCCGAAATGATGGAGTCGGTGGAGGCCGAAACGGCGTCAAACGAGGCGAAACAGAGAGCCGCGGTGGCCGCTACCGGAAATGATTCGGATATGGCGGTTACTGATGCAACACTAGTTGATGAATCAAAGCAGTGGCAGCCGAAGGGTACTACGGAGAACTTGATAGATCCCCCGGAGCATTCAACAACCCCAAAGCAGAGCACACAGCCAACAGAGGCTTCTGCGTCTGCAGGAGAGAGCTCGGAGATCCACCATCCCAGTGAGGCCTCAGGGGCGGCGCCTGAGCTGCCAAAGCCTGACCAGAGCTCTGAGGGCCAGCCGAAGCTCCAGGACAATGCAGAGCTGCAGGCAGCGGCTTCAGCGACTGAAGAAAAGCCTTTGGCAGATTCTGGCGTGGAAGGGACAGCGCCAACCGGCGCTCCTGTGGCTGCAATGGGAGATGCCAACGAGTCTTCAGTGTCTGACTCGGGCGCGGCGGAGCCGAAACTGGCGGCCGATGAAATGGACATATCAACAGGCTTAAATGAAGAGTCAGCGCTTGTGACGGACGATATCAACTCTCAGGAACGGACCAAAGCTACAGAAGAGGTCGCTCTGTCTCACACGGACCTGAGCTTCTCGGCACCACAGGACGAAGTCACTGACGGTTGCACCAGTGTGCCGTCCGTGCAGGGGTTAGACTCGGACCAAAAGAATATGACGACCACTCCGGAGGGAGAAAATGGAATGAAAACAGCGCGGACTTCCGACGTTCAAATGCGCGATACGGATGACATGAAAACGCCGGCGGCGGTCACTCCGACGAAGAAAAGTGAGATACCGGAATTAGTGGCTGAAACTGAGGTGAAAATTGACGCGGAAGATACATCTGAGCACACGGAGGCGACTGTGACGGTACCGGAAGAAGCGGCGACTGTTCAAGAGGAGCTAGCTAGTGAGACGATAAGCGGGGAAAGTGATGGAGCGGCGCCGAAGACTGCTGAGTCGGGTGGTGCGGAGCAGGCTGCCCCGAGCTCTGAGGGTAAGACGGAAGAGCTGCCGTCATCAGAGACGAGTACCGAGATAAAACCATCGGCGGAGAAGGACGGTGTCGAGGTGTCCGACAAACCTCGCACTGGTGATACTGCAGTGGAGGGTCCGGAAGACTCTCCGTCACAACATCTTGACGATGTCGAAACTAAAACACCAGAGCCCTCTACAACACCCGGCGACTCAACGTCTGAGAAACCATGTGTCGAGTCTCTCGCCGCGGAAACAGCACCGCAGGAAGTGCCGTCTTCGGCTGCCGCTGTAGTCCCAGAAACAACTGCATCAGAAAGCTCTGTCCCCATCCAGGACCAAACCGCCTGCCTGCCTGCCCCGGCGCCGCCTGCTCCGACGCTAGAGACATCGACGGCGGCGGCGCTGTCGTTCCTCCCATGCTCTGCCTCCGACGAGCCTCTCATCTCTCTCCCGGGCGCCAGCGGACCTCCCAGCTCGTGGCCGCGGCCACCGAGCACGGAACAGGAGCCGGAGCTGCCGCTGCCACAGCTGCCGCAGCTTCCCGAGCCGGAGCACCAGCCTGAGTTCACGCTGCCCCAGCTGGAGATCGAGCCGCCGCCGCCGCCGCCGTCGGGCCCGGGCGCCGGGGTGGATCAGCACATGATGTTCGGCGACCAGCCTGTGTTCATGGATGGTGTGGAGATCTCGTGGCTGCAGCCGTCCCAAGAGGTGGTGCTCTGTCCCGATCAGGATTTGTTGAGTCAGCACCAGCAGGTGCTGCAGGAACAGAGGGAGTCGGAACAGATGGTCACCGAACAGGTAGTCACCGAACAGGTAGTCACCGAACAGATTGTGACCGATCAGACACATCAGGTGCTGACCGAACAGCTGATCAATGAACAGGACGTGGTCTCGGAACAGGTGATAGAGAACTCTGTGATCAACGATGATGTCGACGAAGAACTAGAAGTTGACGATCCGGTGCCCGTTTACTCCAAGTCTAAGTCCAGAGGCCGTCGTCGGCCACCCATGGCGCCTAGGCTGTCGGGAGAACCACCCAGACCTCGGTTTGTTATAGCCGACCAGCGGCCGAAGGCACCCTCAGGCTCAGCCGCGGCCTCGCGGCGTCCGGAGGCAGCCACGCGGCGTCCGAAGGCAGCCACGCGGCCTCAGTTCGTCATCTCGTACCCGCAGATGGAGGGGCAGCGCCCGGCACCCGGCGGCGAGCAGGTGGTGATGACCTGCCCTGTACCAGAAGTTCCTCCCGAGAGCGCAGACGGACAGAAACCCAAACGGAAGCTGAAGGTAATGACGAAGCCCGGCCCGATCCCGGGCACTGAGCCGACGGCGTCTCCGCTGAGGCCGTCGCTCGCACCCAAGCCAGAGCCTCCGAGTCGCGCGGCGAATCAGGTGGTCTACGTGCCCAAGCCGAAGCCGCGTCCGATGGAGGCCAGCCCTTCCCCGCGGCGCGTGGTGCTCGGAGAATCGCGTGGCCGGCCGGTGAGCTCCAGCGCTGCTGCGCTGGGATCCTCGTCCTCCCCGAGGGTGATCTACATCAAGCCGACCGGTGAGACGGGGTCGCGCGGGGCGGCTGTCGCCAGCCCCCGGCCCGCCGGCCGACCGAAAATCATCGTGGTGCGGCCGCAGACTGCCCCGACGAGCTCGGCGGCGGCGCCGGCGGTGAGGGTGGTCCGTCCGCAGTCCACAGCGACGCGCGCCGTCCGGGCGACCTCCACGGTATCGTCGTCACCGGCGCGGGCGGGCGCATCGCGGTCACCGCAGGTGTTTGTGGTGAAGACCCCAGGAGGCACCCGCTCGCCACGGTTCGTCAGCCGGACGGTGCCGGTGTCTACTGCGACTCCATCGCCACCGCCTCCGCCTCCGCCTCCGCCGCCTCCAGTGACGTCACAGCGGTCCGATCTGGACCTGCTGGCGCAGATCTGCGAGAGCGAGAGTCTGAACACGACGATGGCGCGGCAGGTGAGAATGGGCGGCGGATTGGGTGGTCAGGGAGCTGATAACGTTAAAGGGATTGGGGGATTATGTTCGATGTTCGGTAGTTTGCTAGATTTTGAGCCCCGTGATGCTTTGCGGTGAAGATTTTATGTAGAGAATTAGAGTAGATAGTTAATTAATGACGGTCCAGGGTTCATTGGTGCGAGATTAGGTGTTAACCGTTTGGTTAGTTGCCTGTCTTTTTTGCACGTCAAGTTCTCATTCAGATGTACATTATGTACTCAGATGTACATTTCATGGAGTCGCTGTTTTTTGTTGTGCGAACATCAAGTGATATCTCTTTCTTTATATAGAAAGGGATATGTCTTCTCTTTATATCTTTTCGTCAGATTACATTTGTGCTGTGTTTGGTTTGCAGCTTTTTCTGTTATTTATTCCTCATTAGCCGGTGGCTTACTCCCCCCGGGCCCCGCCGGAACATTGACAGCGTACACGACTGCTGACATTCGCCCTCCCCCACAGCTATCAGGGGAAGTCGCCTTGGACGATCCCACCACCGCTGCCAACGGCGACCTACTGGTGACCTCCGAACAACCACCTCAGGAACAACTACTGCAGCAGGCTCAGGAGCAACAGCTTCAACCACCTCAGGAGGATCAGCCACAGCAGGCTGAGGAGCAACGACTGCAGCAGGCTCAGGAGCAGGAGGTGGTCTCCAATGACGCCGAGGTGGACGGAGGCAAAATCCGCATCCTGTTACCGGACGGGACGGCCGTGTTTGCCGACCTCGGCGACCTGGACGGACTGGACGGTACGGGTCAGTTTTGTGCGGGGTCGTGCGCGGAAATGGGCCGTATTGGTGATTAGAAAGGGCGTGAAAGTTTGTTTAAATATTTACAATGATTTTGTAGCCTAGTTATATTTCTAAATTATCAAAACGTTACCCTCATGATGGCAACATATGCAATCATTGTGCGTTATATATTCTGATGTTTTGTTCATCTTGCGTTAATTCACATTTTCTTTTATTAGATATAGTCGAACTGTATGATCTGTATCATCTGTGTACAATGTTCCCTGAAGCTTTGCCCGTGTACCGTGTTCCATTATCATTTTATAGTCTTCTCTGAACTCTGCCTGCATAACGATAGATACCTCCCCCTCCCTTCATATCCTGAGCAGCCCGGCCTAGACCTTGTCCACCCTTTTCAAATTTTCCCAGAAGCCCATTGAGGGGAGTTCGGTTCCTTCTTCCGTGCTACTTCACACCCCATCACAGTCCCGCTAACTGCCCGTTTTCTCTCGCCACCAGGGGTCTCTGAGGAGGTGATAACGGAACAGTAACCATCACCCGCTTTGGAGCTGTTTTCACCTTTATACACTACTGAGGCCTGCTCTCCGCGGCGCAGAGCTACCCAGCGACAGGACTTTTCCCATCAGTGGGGGTATTTTACGCGACGGGGACTCACCCCGCGGTGTCAAGACTCCCAGCTGCGATAACCCCAGTCGGTGGAAATCTGCCGAAAATAGGTGACTTTTGAGGAGTAACTCTGGTGATCAACATTGAAGAGTTGATGCCTGGAGCTATTTAGAGACCGAAATAATGGACTTTTGTACCCCGGGTATTGGATACCGCCGTAGAACTGTGAGGCAAAATGTGAGCTCCAAGCGATGGCGTAAGCGGAGGGTAAACATTGGCGTGAGCGGAGTGGGGGTGGGATTTGTGAAGGCAGCTGTCGGGGTGGTACCGATCAGTGTACCCGTAGGTCCAAACCGGCTCAGTAAGCGCCCGGCGGCGGCGAGTGTCCGACGATGAGATTCGCGGCGGTACTCTGACGCTGAGTGACGCTACTGGCCGGCGCGGGGCTGGTTTATGAGATCGGACGGCCGCACCAGTCTCTATGAACTGACGCTGGTATGTGAGCGGTGACTTCTGCTGGCTGCAGTCCTACCTCGCCCCATCCATCGCCCATTGGACAGACGCGCGCCGCCATCGCCAGTGTATCTCCCGCGCCACATTTGTCGACCCGCTCGCCGCGCCGTGTTCGTCTCGCTGCGCCGTCTACCATCAGTCCCCTCTCTGCGGTGGCGAGGCAGGGAGCTGTTTTTACAAAGGCGCCTCGTGCGCCGCTGTTTCTGGTACCGCCACTATCGCGCGGCCCGGCGGGATTTATTACCATGCGTTATGGACGGTTGTGAGGCACAGTGAGCCTCTAGCTGTGAGAGTGAGTGAGTTGAGCGACAGTGAGTTAGCGAGTGTGAGTTATAGTGTTACCGAGTTACCGGCTGAGTGTAGAGCGTTGACAAATAAACACACTGTACTGCTTGGGTGATTGAGGGCGATGGGACGATACGGAATTGACGTAGGCAAGTGACCAAAGACGGACAGAGGCAATCGAACAACGTACACATTACGGAGTCCATTCCACATATGCAAGATAAGGGATAGGGTCTTACTCGTAGGTATCTCAAAGTCGCACTGGTCTTCTACCGTAGGCATCTGGGCCTACGGTACTACTAGAGGGGACTACTAGACGATGGGCATCCAGGATGACATTGCCCGAAATGTCATTTCCTTTACCTTTGGGGTCGGCGTAACCCCGTGAACTTAGCTCCCCTTCCCATTTCCCCCAACCCCAGACCTTTGTCAGCTGGTGACTCAGCCCGGCATCCACTATTCATTAGTGGGGAGTGGCGCCTAATCCACATTAGCCCCTTCCCCCCCCCCCCCCCCCCACAGAGCGGGCTGGCACTCCCTGGGACCGACACGAGTGTCGCGTGTCGCGTACAGGACGCGTGGTCAGTGGCCAGCTGGTGCCGACCGTAGAGTGAAATGGCTACTGCGGAGGGTTGAGATACGACGAGCAGAGGGTGGGATGGACACCCAAGTCGCACGACTTGCTTGTGAGGCTAAGCATCACACGGGACAAACCAAAGGACAGGGAAGGCTTAGGATGAAGGGGACCTGAGGCGGCAGTGGCAATTAAAATGTTGAAAACGCTGCACACTTATGCTTACATATGCATGATTAGCAATAGTGAAAACAAAAATATTGTCACTTTGCAAGCGATCGCTACATAGCGACAGACAAGCACAGGAAGTGTTTGATAAAATATTCCGTTTATTACTGCATTATAATCCAGTTTAAATACACACATTCATACATATGTGACCCTAGCATTCCACACACAAACTCCAAAGCGATTACTCGCGCACATACGTACCTAGCATTAGGAACAGGTCAAGCCAAGCGGCACCGGTTGGCAAGACGCGCCGAATTCGTCGACATTCTGCCGACAATTCAGCGCTAACGAGATCCGCCGCGGCAGGAGACACAAGCGAACACATAGCACGTTCACACACCGCTACAAAACGCGCAGAACCTCAGAGAACACCGTTTTGATATGATTCAACACAAATACGCTCATAAGCCCGCTATTGTGCAATGACCCTAAGCTTCAATCGATAACATTTGTGAGTACCTCGTGAAGCACAGCTTCGCGAACATTTCGACAAAAACAGCCAGCGGTAAGAAATGTGCGATGCTTTCAACTGCGGTGGTTACAGATTTGTGCCTTGTGCAATACCTATTTGACACGAAAACCCCCACTTTTAGTTCACGTCGGTGTTATGGAGGCATATCGGCACTCCCTTGCACCCACTGGCTGCACCCACAAGTGTGCCGCGACCCGCTACACCCAGAATACACCCAAAGAAATTGTCAATCGGACAGTCGAGCGGGACATTGCACACGGCCACGATCCAGGGTCCAGTCACGTCCAAGCTGAAGAGATGATCGTACTGGCCTCAACAACCTTCGTGATCAGATTAACCCTCGCCCGCACATGGGGGGGGTGGTTGCCACCCCCCCCAGGTAGTCTTTCTGCTCTGCACTCAACATTTTTAGAGCTAGAAGGCTGATTTTTCGTATAGCTGCTCCTCTATCCTTTCTTGATGTCCACTGAAAATTTCAAGTTTCTGTGATTTTTGGTTTCGGAGATATGACCTTGTTTTTCAGGTCATGTCATGACCCAAATGGCCAATTCTCAACATCTTGCGTTTGCCATGGGCCTTGTGAGCTTTTGACACCCTGATTTCGGCCTTTTTGCCAGTCTTACCTCCCACCTATCATGGAACATGTTGTTCGACGATGTACAGGGGTCAAGGTCAGGGTCAAGGTCAACCTAGGTCATCTAAGATAATTGCGTTTTAGGCAAGCTGAATTTACTTTTTGTGAAGTTTTTTGACTGCATTTTTGGTAAAAGCTTCTCAGATCATGATTTCATGTAATATGGACCCAAAAACAATCGGTGCACACATCAGTATACACACAGACACACACACACATACAAACACATATAATTGACCTTGACCTAACTTGACCTGAAATGACCTCAGCAGCAAAATTCTGGTCGGGTAGAGCGACAAAGAAGTTCTAGCTGGCTTGGCACCAGAAAACAGCATCGTCATCGGTATTTGATAAGCAGCGCACTTGATATCCAACGGTGACCCAAAACAGCAACATTTTTTAGTTTGACCTGACCTGGAAGGTCAATGACTGACATGAGAAGGTAAAACTGGGTATCATTGGATTCGTCTCTTCCCAAAGAATCTTTTTGGTCTTTACCGCTAAGCTCTATCTCCAACAGGAACGAAATGGCGCGGGGGGGGTGGCAACCACCCCCCCCATGTGCGTTCTAGGATGGGAAAATGGCATGTGCGGGCGAGGGTTAAGGGACTCCGGACCACAGCGCCCATCTCCATTTCCCACAGAGCGCGGAGCGAACACCGCGGTCGACGTCCCTACACAAATATAACCGGGACTGACGTGAACCTAGGAGACAATCGCGCAACACTGAATACACCACAAACACGTCTGCGCAAACGTATCGAATACAATACCCAACGAATCATTCATACATGACGTCACAACAAAATACACACAGAAAACACCCTTTTGGCAGAGCCGTTTTACGTATAAAACGCTCTTCGACAACACAGCAAGGAACAACGGCATAAACACGGCACGTGCCACCAAATAAATCCACATAAATATCTGAGAAAAGCTCGCTCACGCCTCCCGTATAAAGCTCATCAGATCCGAGTGACCCTTCCGACGACCCCACGTCAGCAGATCTCAAATATGGCCGTTCAGCCCTCCCCCAATGGCTACAGAGCACCGATGGCAACAGAACGGAACCCTTCTGAGGAGAGAGGGAGGGCGCCGCACAGTGTAACTGGCCGATATGACGTCACGGAAACCATCTATGACGTCACAGTGCCGTACGTATTACGTCACAGCGCTGTGCTTGACAAGAATGACGTCCACGGTCCGGTGCATTGTGTGCCGTCCGTGTGACGTCACAGGCCGCCTGTGTGACGTCACTGCGCCCTATACGCCGTCACTGTACTGTGTGAGTATGACGTCACGTCTGACGTCATTGCCAGTGCCGGGGTCCGGGCGGCCGCCCTCGGCTGTTGAGGGTTCCCATGGAGCAGACCTCACTCATATCTGGCCTGGGGAGAGAGAGGGTCGGGTCAGGGTACCTGGAGAATCACAGATTCAATGGGGGAGGGGGAGGTAAGGTAGAAGGTACAGTTACTCACGAAACCTCCCGTGAAGTCCATGCGAACACCACTGGACCTAATGGAGCATTGCAAAAAAAAAAAAAAAACGGAACAACACATGGTTCTTACTTCCCGCAATACCTGACGCCAAGACGCAAAAAATATATGATTTACTAATCCCATCCTTCTCACATCCCACCAACCTGGCAGGCACTATATCAATTAATTATCGACCATGACTCTCATCTCAATATTTCAACCTCTCACTCCTTCAGCTCTCCTGCTACCTACATCACTATTTATATCCTAATCCTTACCCTATTCCTTACCTCATCACCTCACCCACTCCTTATCTCACTACCTGTCTCACTCCCCTAGCTCCCCCTCTCCGTTATCTCACCTGCTACTGATGCCGGTCACCTGATCCCACGGGTGACTATACTCGCTCTCGGCGTACGGCTCCGGTACGGGCACTCCGCCGCCCGGCTGCTGTCTCCGCAGCGTCGCCAGGCCCGGCTGCACGTACACCGCCGGCACGTCGCGGAGAGGTATCGCCTCCGGCACGCGCGCGCCGCCCTCCTTGGCGACATGATTCTCCGCCGCGCCGCGCACCCCCGCGCCGCGCTGACACAGCACGAATAGCATCACGGCGGAGACGAAGACGAGAAGTACGCCGATGAAGAGAAGACCGTGCACGTGAGGCCAGCGCTGTCGGAAGAACGCGTCGGCGAGCACCAGGGCCACGCCCGACATGGCAGCGCCGATGAAGAAGATTTGCAAGAAGTAGTAGCAGAAGTTGTGGAAGCTGGCACAGTGGCCGCGGTAGGGCCAGAGGACGGCCTCCTGGGCGGCGGCCGCGTGACTGTGACTGTGACTACTGCTGGCGGGCGGCGGCGGCGGCGGCGCGGCCGGCGGCGGCGGACCGGCGCTGCCGCCGGCGCGGACCACGTGAGGTACACGCGCCGGGGGGATCAGGCCAGAGTAGGGCATGCTGGGCACGGGTGACGGCGGTGTCGGCGGCGGTCCGGAGCTGTACCAGGGCGGACCGGCGGGCGGCGCCGGCCGCGCGTGCGCTGGGTGCTGGTAGCCCGAGGAGCCGCTCGAGTCCAGGGTGGACATGCTCAGATGATGGCACCTGTAGCAGGGGGGGGGGGACATGTCAACCACATTGAATAACAGGGCAGCCTACAAAATGCCTCTTTACCATGCTTATTTTACAAACAGGGGCGCGGGAACTACTTTCCGACTGGGGGGGCACACCATAATAGAGATTAACCTAGGGTACCCCCAAATCTAGTTTTCTCACCGGTTTTAGGCCACTTATTTTTCACCCCTCGGCTTTTTCAACAAAAAAAAGAAAACATTTGCCAAAAAAAGTGTAGTATTCCGTCTCAAAGCTGTGGGGGCACCGCCCCCACGGCCCCAGAGTTGGGGGGGGCAAGCTGCCCCCACTGCCCCCCCGGCTCCCGCGCCTATGTTTACAAATGACTTATGGCAGTCATGACAAATGTGAAAATTCCTACAAAACTTTCAACTTAGAGTAAATATTGTTTTATGAGGCATTATGTCTAGCTCAACCATTTTTGCAAAATTTTGTATTGACACTACAAGTAGGCATTCCATCACTCCAACACAATATCACCTTTGACACCATCATATAATCCACTTTGAACCCAGACATAATATACACTGTCAAGCATCCATCTGAGCCAAACTCAGCACATGATGACCAAAACCTACCAATTTCATTAGGAATGCCATTCAACCTCTGAGCTACTATCCCATCATTCTACCATCCAGTATCCACCATCCAACCAAGCTAACCTGAAATTCTGACCTGCTTTGGTAAATCAAATTTAGAGGTCATCCCCATTGTTATAGTTCCTTTTTCGATGTCAGGATATCTGCAGAATAAAAGGAAGTCCTGCTACACAACTTTGACATAATTTTGGAATCAAAATGATGTTGTCCTATAGTCCGTTTTTCTTATCTTTAGACTTCACTCCAAGATGTGCAGATAACTTAGCACGTGACGTCACACAATTTGATAATAAAAATCAAGCGTCACGCTCATTGCCACTGGCTCTAAAAGCGAACACACCATATGTCTGCTGTGTATCAAGGAAATCTGAGACTTTTATATATCTTTTGAAATTTATATCCATTCGTATACAATAATATGCAATGCTCTCAAAACTTCGGCAAGGAAAACCGATCGGTGCACAAGCGAGACAAGTGGTTTATAATGTTTACCAATATTTTATTCGAAAGAAAGATGAATACCTCAAGCAAGGTGATGAGAGTGCAGCGGCTAGCATTAACGTAGCGAAGGAGACCAGCTCTGCTACTGGAGTGTCGATTGCCTCTGTTAATGCATTCAAGAGTGGAATAGAGACACATGGATGCCAGTCTCCAGCCCGCCAGCGCCCTAACAGGGGGCCACGCGAGTACTTCGACGAGTTTGACCAGTGCGCGTTCAGAAGAATGGTGCATGCCATGTACCTGGAAGGGAAAAAGGTCACTTTGGACACCATTAGAGCGGCAGTTCAGGACAAGTTCGAGCAGACTATCTCGCGCTCAACCATACGAAAGCAGCTGTTCCAAATAGGATTCAAGTTCCGACAAGTGAACAACCGAAAGCTGCTGGTTGAAAAACCTCAGGTGGTGGCAGCCCGGAACGCGTTCCTGAGACGCATTCGGAAGATTAGAAGCTCCGACCCAGAGCGCACTATAGTGTACTTGGACGAGACCTGGTATAACCAGTTTGATATGCGAACGGTCGCGTGGTTGGACAGTGACGACGTGGCCGGCCATAAGCCAGTGACAGGGAAGGGCAAGCGCCTAATCATAGTCGATGCTGGCTCGGACAGCGGCTTCACCCCAGGAGCATTCATGTGTATGAGGACGGACGGCAAGTCTGCCGACTATCACACGTCTATGAACGCGAGCTGTTTCGAGGACTGGTTTCGACTCCAACTTCTGCCGAACCTGCCAGCGAATAGCGTGATCATTATGGATAACGCCTCGTATCATTCAAGATGTGCTAACAAGGCACCTACAGCTAGCTGGAGGAAGGAAGCGATCCAAGAATGGCTGCGGGTACATGATGTCAATCCTGATCCGGACTTGCGGAAGGTCGAGCTTCTTGAGCTGGTTCGCCCTCTGAAACAGACACGCGAGTATGTGTTGGACAAGGTGGCACAGGAGGCCGGTCATGAAGTACTGAGGTTGCCCCCATATCATTGCGACCTCAATCCGATTGAAATGGTTTGGGCAAACATGAAGACGCACGTCCGCCAGTTCAACAACACTGGGCATCTGAATGACGTGGAAAGGCTGCTGCTGGATAGCCGAGACGCCGCGCCACCGGACTTGTGGCGAAACTGCTGCCGCCACGTGCGAGAACTGGAAGAGGTGTACTGGCGAGCAGATGGTATGATGGAGGACATCGAGCCAGTGATCGTGTCACTTCAGGATTCGAGCAGTGACGACAGTGACAGTGAAAGTGATTGAGGGCGCATGGGACCTACGATGGCTTCGGTGAACCAAACATACCCAATATACGAGTACGACTCCTGTGTTTCCTGTCTTTTGTAATTTGTATTACGAGTTACTGGTGGTAGATTTGTAGACACTAGCGGGTAATACGAGCAAAACATGTCATCACATTGAAATAGTATGTATATTTGTTAATTTCGATCAATGCTGCATTCATCGCTAAACACACGCTCATATAGCCAACTCGTGTTGGTAGCCTGCGCCGCTGAACACGCATGTCCTGCGGGTTGCCTACCTCCACAGGCATAATTCATCTCCGCCTCTCGTCACGCAGTCTAACCCGTCCACATGATACTTCGTGAGGATTACAACGTCACAGTCAATACTATCGAAAACGCGTTCACTCGAATGTCTGCGATAGCGAACCACAAACCAAGTGCTTCACGACAGTCGCCAGAACTTGTTACGAGCCACACGCCGAGCTCCTTCAAGAATTTCCTTGCATTGGGTCCGCACTCGCAGTCGCACGCACCTGCGGTTTCAAAAAACTTCGGCTGGAACCAAGCCCTATAGGTCTTGAACTAAAGTCACTGATGATGACTTGTGTCCATTTGCAGAATAGTTCATTTCCAAGTGATATTCGCTTTTATAGGTACCCTTTAATTCATCGGATCGATAGTTCGGTTAGCATACCAAACTTTATCCAACTTAATTTTTGTAGCAGGTAGGTATAAGTACCTACCTATTTATGTAATACACATTTGTGAGACTACAAATCTGCACTTGCCGCACCCAAGAGCGCCACTCTCCAGGCTTCAAGGCAATATTTTCTGTTTCCGAAGGGCTTGATTTTTTCTAAGCCATGCTTTGTCTCGTGCATATCTTGCGAAACATCTTGGAGTGAAGTCTAAAGATAAGAAAAACGGACTATAGTTTGATTCACATTCTTTTACCAATTACCATTCACTTGGGTCAAATCAATAGTTTGTGTATGCATAGGGAATAAATGGAAGCCAAGAAGCATAATGATTTAAGAAAATAACTGTCATTGACCATCCTTAACTTTGGTTGGCACCACTGTTCCTCATTGCAGTCAGCCTGAAAGTGGCAAGGCAGGCAATGCATGTTTGGGCATTAGTACAGCAGACGTCACACAAAGGTTTTCCAACTGAGGAGAGGCGCTGTAGGATTGTAGGTTGTAGGGTAGGTTTGTAGGATGTAGGTTGTAGGTTTTTAGGTTGTAGGTTGTAGGTTAGGTTAGGTTTGTTTAGCTTTTGTTAGAAAGAAGCACCTCCAGGTATAGCATCTCTCCTAGGTTGGAAAACCTTTGTGTGACGTCTGCTCTACTTATACCCATATTTGACCCAAAAAAGGTGTCAGCGAATGTCGTCAATTTAATTTTTGGCCGCTGCATGATGAGCCTTGAAGTGACTTCTGGAGATGGATATTAATGACCTCTAAAGATGCGTATGCATTAAATGAACCATTCATGAGCGGAAGGAAGGAACAACATAATTGATACGGGCAGGTAACGAGACCAATTCATTACGTCCGCTATATTTTATATTTATCAGTTAAAAAGCTATACGCTAAATAGCCATAATGACATATTCTTTCCTTTTGATGCTTTTTATGTATTCTTTAAATTATTTCAAACATATTTGATGCACACAGGCTGTTTCAAAACGACCTGCTAATGATATGCAATCTGAGACATAACCGGCGCAATCACTTCTTGCCGAAAAAAGAAAATACTTACCGCGACCCGCACTAAACCATATCAATTAGGGCACAGTATTTATCTTCCTGATTGCGAGAATTCGACACAAACTTGTGAACTTGACAGAACCACCAAAATACAACCTTACAAACAGTCACAAACATCAACCATTCACAAAATGCTCACTTATTCAAGGTTGCTGAAAACCGAACATTGTTGCCAGATGTCCCTAAAACGCAGACAAAATGGCCTGCTAAAGTACTGCGTCCGGCGCTCAACCCCCGATAGTCTGGCTGACATCTTGCGCAGCAGATTTTGCTCACGAAGATGAAGAAATAAGATAGATAAAAAGAAATAGAAGCCGGTGACACACTCCACGGCACAGTGGACGCTAAGCATTTTCAGCAAACCGCCGCTGGTTGAGGCCGTGCAAGTTCTTTACTCATCGTTAGCACTTAGCTCCGCAACTGGCCAGCGCGATAAGCTAGAACAAATCACATGTGCAGAAGATGCCGATCCAGTCACATCCTTTTAATTCACGTCGTGAACGTTCCTTTGTTTACGATGTGTTCTTTATCGCGAATCTCTAAGAATCTTGATCGTGAATACATCACCTAACGGCTGTGAACATAGCTGTGAGACTAAATGCTTAAAATGGGACAAAAAGTTGCATCGCTCATCCACCGTCGATGCAAACAGCACAATTCAAATTAAGCCCAAAGTAACATCATTATATAACATCACCATAAGTTCGCATTACACTTGGACTCAAGCCTGGCAATGAAAGCAATCGTGCATATACAATCAGCTTCCGCTTGTATTTATCAATACAGCAAACCGCAACACATTTCTGGATACACGAAAAACGACAAAAGCAACAGCAAAACGGAGGGTGCACCGAAAAGGGTTATCAAGGCTACAAAACATCGAAAACAGGCTACGACCTGACAACTCATAATACGGGGTGGGAGTTGATCTGAAATCTGAATGCATCGTCACTTCCCGAAGGCAATAATGAATGTGTACAAAACGAATGGTGCTATGCCAACCCGAAAAGTCCACTGTCAAACTTAACTATCATACCATTATCAAAACTATATAGACAACAGATTTTGGGACACACCATGCTTCTCCCAAAGACATTGAGATGACAAGCTGATGTCTGAAAGAGTTGATTGTTCGGCAATTCAGCTCAATAAATACAGAATACGTCCCCCGCACTCTAAAGTCGCAGATCATCGTACAAGGGTCTAAGCACACAGTTCTTAAGTTAGTTTGAATGGGGTCATGCTTGGTCTCCCAGCAAAACCGCGATGAGATGAACACACACAGTTGACGCACTCGATGGTCGACATTGTCTATTTTGTGCAGAGATCTCTACCAAAATTACAGCTGAAAATGCTGCAATCGACTTACGTCTCACAGCATCTCACAGTTATTTTGTATGTCGCACTCGCCTTCTAACCACCCATAATCCTAAACTAACCATGCCAATGACCTGACTGTACAAACTAATGTTTTGCTAGCCAAGTGCTGGAGTGAAAAATCCTTAGCTAAAGAAAACAAAAGTAATCCACACTCGTCAAATCCATCTAATTTCTCTCGACTTCAATGCCACCACTTTATTTCATCGCTGAAACGCGAGACATCCTCTCCGCTTAACCTCACTATCCTAACACCTCTCCTCCATTCATACACTTCAATCCAACACATCTTCAGACCCCACCCGTTCCCGGCGGGACACCACGCTATCCTTCCAGGTGTAGATTCCCATCAGCATCGGCCACCGCCGTGAACTGTACATCCTCCCCATCGCCGGCCGCTGTGATGACATACTCCTCTTTGTCGAATTCGCCAGCCTCCAGCACGGCTCCCTCGTACACGGTACCGTTGGGTTCTGTGATGACGGAGAGAGCGTCTACGACCGCGGCGCCCTCGGGCATGACCTGACGGAGAGATGGGAGGTCAGTCGGGGAGAGAGAGAGAGAGGGAGAGGGAGAGGGGAGAGAGAGAGAGGGAGAGGGGAGAGAGAGGGGGAGAGAGTAGGGGAGATAAAAAATACAAAGCTGGTCCAAGCCAATCTAATAAATCACTACCACCGTAGATGACAGAGTAAGTCCTTGGTCATAGTATCAGAAAAGCTTTGACCGTCATATCAATGATAGCCTGCAGCAGCTGCAGAACTGCTAGCTGCCACTGCCTTTTGCTGACGTGACCGGAAATAATATGCGTCCGTCTCAGGGTCCCGGCTGTCGGCAATATCCTTCCGACAGAAGTGCAGTGGCGCAGCGACATCCCCGGTGGCCGCCTTCGGGGCCCTCCAGAGCCGCTAGCCTCCGCAGGACCCCAACGGCAGAAACATCAATAGACATCAGCATCAACAACAAGAGCAGCAGCAGCAGCAGCAGCAACCACAAGAGCTACCACTGTCTCGTCCCCCTTCCCTCCCGAACCTACCTGAACGTCCTCAAACACCACATCGACCACTCCGTGTTTGTGCCGCATGTGGGCGGTGAGCTGCTGCTTCTGGCGGAACCCGTCACCGCACTCCTGGCAGTAGAAGCGGTACTCGTTGTTGTGGATCATCTCGTGCCTCTGCAGGCTGTAGACGCTGACGAACGTCTTGCCGCACTGGGCGCACACGTGAGGTCTTTCCTTCATGTGTACGCGCTGTTGGTGAAGGGGGTCGCGGGGAGGGGTGTTGTGACTTATGATTATGCCAGTGCTCAGTAGTGGAAAGGAGCAGTAGCCATTGGGCACAAATACTTGAAACAAAGCTTGGAAATGAAAATAAAAAGTGGATAGTTAAAGTCCAGCTTTTCTCGCCGGTATACTAGTGCGGTCGTTTTGGCGTAACACGAATAAATTCAAAATAAACAAGCTGACTGCCAGTTTAACTGCTTAACGCAAAGTGTGTTGCCACTAAACCATACACTGAACACCAGTTTAACTGCTTAACGCAAAGTGTGTTGCCACTAAACCATACACTGAACACCATCAGCCTTTGTTTGCGTCAGCCCCACCACCCTGTCCGATTGACTCTCCTAACCTTGATATGTCCTCGCACCACATCCTCTCGAGTGAAGACCTTCTTGCAGATGGGGCACGTGTGCGTGATATTATGTGAGCGTTCGTGTTTTCTCAGCTTCTCCGGCACGTGCTCGCCACAAATGCTACACACCCCTCCCGCCAGAAACCTGCCGGCTCGTTTCTGAACGGAAGGTGGCGGGTGGTCGTCTTCCTCGGGTATTGGCGCGCCTTCCTCGAGTAGTCCCCGCGCCACGAGGTCAGCGTGCTGCCTCATGTGGTAGCGGTAAAACTTCACCTCGCGGTCACAGATGGTACACTCGCCTGTCGACAGATGAAAAGAGATGTAAGGGATGTGGTGAGAGGAATGACAGGAGGTAAGCTAAGTGAGCAAGCCTGAGAGTCGTGAACTATAGAGTAGCTACACCCTGATACTTCACAGATCACAGGAATATGAGATGAGATTAGATGAAAACTTTCACGTTTCCATTCCATCAAAGCTTCTTACAATCCACTCCCCGCTAACTTGAATCTACCGTCTCATCTCCTCCTTAACCATCCCCTCCTTCTCTCGCACTCACCGTCCCGGATATATTTACCCTCCCTCGTTCCCTTCCACTTAGTTATTCCTACATTTACCGTACCGTCCCCATACAGCCATTATTCGCCCACTTCTTCCCCACTCCCGTCTCTCACCGGATCTGTGCTGGAGTCGACAGGCCTTCCGGTGTTCCAGCAGCGACGGCCGGTTGGGGAACTCGGTCCGACACCGCTTACACCAAGGCTTGTTGACGTGCTGCCGCAGGTGCTTCACCATGGAACTGGGGCGGAGGGAGATTGCAGGGGGATGTGTTAGCTGGCAAACGGATACGATGCACGGCTGGATGACGGGCACAACGGTTGACAGGAGGATGAAATGATGTGGATATACAACATAGCTATGCGAGAATGTTAGGGATGTCACACAACAAATAGTGGAGCAGACAGGTCGGATATAAAAAAAGAAAACAATATCACAGTTAAAAAGAGCCAAGGTGATGGGCTAGCATCCCCTCTCATCTCCTCACATGCTCCCTCTCTCCCACTTGCCACCATGCTCTCTACTCCCCTCCCTCTACCCCTTCCTCCCACACTCACTCAGAGTCCTCGAACTCGATATCACAGCGGCGGCACTCGTATCCGGTGGTGTGTGGGCGCGCAGCCCCGGCCGGCCGGCCCCTCCCACCGCCCTCCTCCTCCTCAGTAAGGCCGGACGGGTCGCCGCTGTCGGCCGCGCGCACCTCCAGGTGAATTATCTTCTCCAGGTCAGACTGTAACGGCGGGAAACGTAGTGATTTCATTAGCTCATTGGAAAGCATTTATCGTTCATACACGTCCAGCCCATACACAATGCACATCCACTCTATACCTAGGCATACAAATAATAATACAAAATGGTGCCATCCCTGTATTTTATTTTTGAATTACCTCACTGACACTGGGCCCCTCCCCGCCAACAAGCCCCTCTCTGCCACAAAGGTCGCAAAAAACTTGCACCAGTCCCCCTCTAGCTCGACGATATCCACTGGGAGTCCATTACCACCAACCTTTAGCGGTCGTTTGGAGGGAGCCGGCTTGATGTTGAATTTGGCCGTTTTGATGTCCTTCACCTGCTCCTTTAGGGCGCTAACGTCGGTAAAATCTATGACCTGCCGTCACAGACACACACACAATAATGGGGTCAGCAAAAAGTATCCCAGATGTCTGCAAATTGCCCACCTGACTGCATCGCTGTCTGTCCTTCATTCAATCTCTCTTCATACAGTTCTTTAATTTCCCTTGTGATCTTATTCCTTTTCTATCATATTTCCAGTCCTTCCCAACCCTATGCTCATATTATTCATTATTTCATTGTTTCCTGATACTCTACAGTCTACACTCACCCTTTCCTTATTGGTTTTCTCCACTTCTGTGGTAACTCAGAAACAAGGGAGGAAATATAATAAGAGAATAGGATAATTCTACCCTCTTTCTCACCCTCCCTTAGAGTAACTCACCGTGGGAGTGACTGGCGGGTGTTTTCTGGGCCTCCCCCGGCCCCGTGGCGCTCCGTTTGGCGCCGGTGCTGGCGTGGGTCGCTCTATCGGTTCCGGAGACCAGCGGCGCCTCGCCTTGGGCACCCGAGAGCGCGTGGAGCGCGGCGTCGGCCCCGACGGAGCCCAGTCCGAGTCGTCAGAGTCGTCACCGTCGGCCGGCGGCGACAG